AAACACTTCTTTGCCATTTCTTTTCCAATCTCGTGTGGAAAAAATATTTTTTTTTTGCAAAAAAATACCATGGTAGAATTAGGAATAAGAATTTTCATGTCAAAATTCAAAAAAAAAGTGCCGCATTTTTTTCGATTTTGACGTAAAAATCTCGGTGGTTTCTGCATAGTGCGAGCCAGAAAAATATGTCTATCTCTTAAAAAAAACTATTCTATGTATAAAAATTTGTGCCAAATTTTATCAAAATCCGAGCATGGTATTTGTAGTACTTTCCAAGTGAAGTAAGGTAGCAAAATCCAAAAAAATGGTTCTCTTTTTTAGCCAAATTGAGAAAGTTCATAAAAAATAACAATTCTCGAGGCAAAACAAGCAATTTGCATTCCGTTTTAGCTCCACTCACCACTCGCTCTCCCCTTGAAACCTGTTAGACCTCATTTGGAATAACTCCCGATGCTCTTGACCATTTGTTTTTTTTCGTAAACAATAGAAAAACGTTCATCCAGGCGGATAATCTCGTAAAAACGCTGGATACTTCATTTTGTTGGCAATTCAGTTTTTTCGTCGAAAGTTTAGGTTATTGTTTTTTAATTTAATTTTTTTGTCGTGACCTCGGCCTTTGCGGTTCCCGGATTGGAGATAAAACTTTTTGAACCCCTCGTTTTGGGCTTTGTAATTTATGGAATGGGTTGTGGCCATAAACGTGGGATGATTCATGAAGCTGCGTGCGGGATTGTCTACGTGAAGTGGCAGAATTTATTTTTAGGGCGTAAAATTGATGTTGTAATTGAAAAATTTATCGTATTTTTTGGGGCAATGTATTGCATTTTTCTAAAATTCGGCTTGGTTTTTTTGCGAAGGTCGTATACAAACTGATGTGGATTTTATGCCACGCTTTGAAAAAAAAAACAACTGCGATTTTTTAGGTTTTAGTTAGAGGAGAATTGAATTTCCCGCAAAAATTTTTGTTTTTTCCGCTTGACATTTGGGGATATTTGGAGAAAAAACATGTTTTATCTATAGGTGCTCACGTTGCATACATTCTCGGTAGCCCACGTTGAATGTCTCGGTTGCATCTACAAAGGGCCAGCAAAAATTTTGAGAAATCTGCAAGTCCTGCGTGGGTTTGGCGAAGCGCCACAGGGGTCGCTATATATTATAATACTTGGCAAGAAAATTAGACTGACAAGGGAAGTACCCCAAGTGCGACGCTCCAATTTTCTTTAAATTTTGAGCACACGTCGGGCATGAACTAAATAACAATTCCTGAAAGTTTTAGTTCGCGCTTTTCGGGCGCCGCCGAGATATCGAACCATCTTTGGCGCCGAGAGAGTACGCTAAACACGGAGAGGTGACAGAGAGAAAAACATTTTTTTGGCCATAACTTTGCTTGTTTCGTGCGGAAAAAATTGATTTTTTGTGAAAACATTACCCTCCATGGTAGAAATAGGTACGAAACTTTTCGTGCCGAAATTCGGCAAAGAGTGTCAAATTTTCGCCCACTTTCGATCTAAAAATCTCGGTTGTTTCTGCAAAGCGCGAGCTAGGATTCTCGCATATATTTTAGAAAAAATCATTCTAAATTTGTGCCAAGTTTCGTCAAAATCTGAGCGTCGCACTTCCCCTGTGAACTAGATCTGCGACAAAGAAAAAATTTTGTTGGATCGTGTCTACAGTAATATTAGTCTGTCGGGAATATAATGACTACAATGTAGGTGCGTCGATAGCGTCGCTGAATTTAAAAGCAACTTGATTTTTCCGCGACACAATTCATTTTCTCCTAGGCGATGCGATTTTCGTTGGACAGAGAACTCATTATTTTCCCGACAAACTAAAAGTCAACGCCCATTTTTTTGGCAGCTTTTTCACTGCAACCCGAAGACGAGTAAAATTAATATTCCTTTGTTTACATGCCCATACAATCCTATGTACATAAAGAACGCCCCACACAACGTCAAAACGCCAATTTTGTTTTGCACCCGCAAAATTCTTCATCCCCGTTTTTTTCGGGTGTAACCGTTGACCCCATTGTACAAATTTTTGCGTATATTTATTAAAGATTTTCTTTTTGCGAAAAATCTCCTTTCAATCCGAGGGAAATCCGCGGGCCTTATAGTCGCGTGGGAATTGCGGAACGTTGTTTTGTTCGAGCAAGTCGTGATGTAGAGGGGGGAAATTGTTTAAAACAGCGCTGTTACGGCTACAATACACACTGCCACTGGCTTCATATTGTAGCCCACCAAGCTACAAGTACAAAGATGAGAGGATTTTTTTGTGAATACTGCCTTGTAAGAAGTGAAATTTACTCAGCACTTCTCTTGTAAACCCAACCAATTTTTACTCTCGTTTCAGCGAGGAGTATTTGCATATTTCCTCAAAATTTTCTCCAATTTTTCGGCATTTTAACGGGCTCTCAGCGTTGTAAAATAATTTATGGGCCCACGGTCAGATTTATGACATTCTTTAGGCTTCGGGTTTGAATTTATTTTTTGGATAAACCCTTATTTTCCACAGGATTTTTTTCAATTAATACCCTGCCCCTAGTAAAACGTAATATCTCAGGTTTCTTTGTTGGAATTTGAGGGTTTCTTGACAAGCAAATTGACTGTAGAACATTCCCTAGATTAGGTTAGAGAGTGATTTCACAACGACAAAATCCGTGGCCCTTTCACTGAAGTTTTGTTCAAATTCCCCTCAAATTATGCGAATTCCAGAATCTTTCCCACATTACTCCCCTCTCACCTAATGAGAACTCTGTGAGCCCATAAAAATTATTCGAATTCTTGTCCGAAAAAACAAAAGGAGAGCCGGGTACAGCCGTCGACTTTCTCCGGCCCTGCATTGATTGGCTCGTTAGGACCGATGGGGCGTTGGGATTTGTGTGCGCGACCGATTAAAATGCCCATCCGAGGAGTTGGGGACGGGGTTCAAAGACCTTTTAATGTCGATTTAATTAGATGCCTCGGGGGAATAAAGCGTTTAGAGGGGACGCGAAAGCCGGAACGGCAAATTGGTTGATATTTTTGGTAATTTTAGTAATCAAAATGATTTGTCGACAATTTTTAGGAATTTTTTAGCGTAAAATACGAACTTCCCTCGAAATTTTGAGATTTTTTTTATTTTTTGTTACTTTTTTTACTTTTTTGAATATGTTTGCAACACTTCTCGTCAATTCTTCGACCTTGCACTTCTTTGTACACACTTCTTTTATTATCGTATTCAAACTTACATTGTCAGACGCAAATATTCTTGTTCAAAGATACGGCAGAAAGAAGGCCGACTTTTGCTCGCGATAATGCGGAAACGCGGACGTCCGCAAATGCAATAAACTCAAATGGAATCATTGTGAGAATTGAGTGGAACGACATCAAGAAGTTTTTCCTCATGATGCCACCCAAATTTTCTTTCGTGTTTTTTTCGCGGATTGGAATCTTTGAAATTAATTTTTTTTTATATTGGCCATAAAGCTGACTCAAAATTTTACCGATTTTTTATCGCATTTTTTTCCATTTCAGCTCTAATTTCAATACAATTTCAAGCTCATCGACGTGCCATGATGATCGTAGAATAGCCTGAAAATTGCGACCTTCACAAAGCTATGATGGTATCAAGATCTAGTGAAATATATTCCTACTTATCTACTTTACTATTTCTACTAAACTTATCAAACTCCTATGTCATCATTGGTAAGTATCTTTTCTTTTTTTAACCTTTTTTTGCATTACAAGAGCAGCGCCACAAATCTCTAAATTCGGGGCACAATTCGAGCCTAGGCCATACAGCAATACCAAAAAGTTTTAGCTCGAGCATTACTAGGGCAGCCGAGATATTAAACGATCTTTACGACAGAGAGAGGGCAAGCGGAACGCGGAAAGAGCAGAGAGAAAACCAGTTTTTTGGCCATATTTTTGACAGCGGTGTACGGAAAAAATTGATTTTTTTGTGAAAAGCATCACCCTCTACGGTAGAAATAAGCACGAAACTTTACATGTCAAAATTCGCAAAAAAATGCCTTAACTTTTCCAACTTTCGATCTAAAAATCTCGGTCGTTCCTGCAAAGCGCGAGCTAGTAGTCTCGCCATACAAAAAATGGTTTTAAGTTTGTGCCAAGTTTCATCAAAATGTGAACCTCGCACTTGGACGTTCCCATTAAAGTAGGCTTTTTATTTTTATGTTTATTTTCGTCTTTGCGGATCCCTCAAAGCAGAGAAAAGCCGATTTCCCGGGATTTGTCCCCAATATGGCGAGGACGTTTGATGGTTGCGCAATTGCCGCGCAAATCCGTCAAAAACCTAATAGTGGGGCGTTGAAAGAAGCCGAGGTGTAAACAAACAATAACTATATTCTAATGACGATTAGAAAATTTACTTTCTTGAAAGCGAATCCTAAGATATTGTCAAAAATTTAGATGTAATTCGAATGCTTCACCTGAAAGCCTTCTCTGATTGGTGTCTTTGCAAATTTTTAGCTTTAAAATTAGGGGTTGTAGCCGAGTTTGGCCCGGTTCGTAAACCGGGAGGGAATACAAAAGACGGCAATTATCTCCAAACAATAACATCGTTTAGCCTATTACGCGGACCCCAAGATGGGGAAGATTTCGAAAAGCAAGCTAAAAAATATACGTACATAGAATACGGATCAAATTGCACGAAGCTTTTAACAGATTGCTTTCGGTCTGTCGGGAAAATAATGAGCGTCTTTTCGCATTGAAAATCGCATTGCCGTCAAAAAAATGAATTGGCAAAGTTAAATTGCTCTTCACTTCAGCGACGAGACAGTCGCAGCGAAATTGTGCTCCTTATTTTTCAGACGGACTGTTAGGAAATCGCAGAGGCGTGGGCAAAAAAATAAGCATACACACGGTGTAAAATACTGAGCACTTTATGGCGCAACTATTACTGTACCTATATATTCAGATCAATCAAAATGCCCGTTGGGTTGGCGAGCGGCGGCCGATCAGTGCGTTCGCTTGGAGCTCGAGCCGTCTCCGCATGATCGCGCCATGGAAGAGTGCGCCAAACAAGGCGCAGAACTTGTAAATATTGTCCGCAGCGCGCAGATCGACCAGACCTTGATCGTGGATTTGAACGAGATTGTTCAAGAGGCCGAAAGGAATGGCCTCAACGAACGGGTGTGGCTGGTTGGTGGTCTGCAGGACGCGCTGGCTGTTCCTCAGCTCGCCTACGACTTGTGGTTGACGACGAACCGAATCATGGAGAAGAGATCGGTGGAGAGGAAAGTGTTGGCGCTGGAAAAACGATTCGGCAGCGAGGAGTTGGAAATGTAAGCAAAAAATGAATGCATGTTTCAAGGGTTTTTGTGGTGTCTATCAATCTGTCGGGAAAATAATCAGCACTCTGTCACATTGAAAATTGAATCGTCGCCGAGAAAATGAATTGTGTCGCGGCAAAAACAAATTCTTTTCATTTCAGCGTTTGGCGCAGCGACATTGTGCTTATTATTTTCCCGACAGACAGATAAATTTCGCTACGAATTCTTCTTTGATCATTGCAAAAATTTATGTCAAGATAATTCTAGATCCTCCGTACCCGCCGACAAGCCTCTCTCATACATCTGCGGACTTCTCCCGCTAACTCGCCGGCGTCTTCTTTACGAAGAAGCCTTCCTGCCCAAAGGTGTCCCCTACTTTATCGAGGAACCCAGTGCCTCCTACTCGTACATCAATCGGCCCGATGGGCATTTCATTACCATCCCATGCAGAGCCGAAGGCAACCCAAAGCCGGTAATAAAATGGTTCCAAAGTGGCGTGGAGCAAGTGAATTTGGACTCGAACAGCTCGTCGTTTATTGTCAGCGGAGGCGCATTGCTAATTCCGGTGGGGAAAGAGCACATTGCCGAGGTTATGACATTTCATTGTACCGCCACAAATTTGCTGGGTAAGCTTGTGGCTTTAACTTGTTTTTATGGCGCTACTACTTTTCGAGTCAGCGAAAGTTCGGGTTACTCATACGGATCGTATCGGTTCGTATTTGTATGCATGGGGGAGGCTAGGTGAGGGCTTAGTCCGTAGAAATAGTAAAATTCATCTGATCCTAGGACAGCTTACCACCCACCCATTTTAAACTATTTTGCATGTACTGAAATCAACCTTATCCAGATAAACGTTATGGATTTTCGTTTTTTTTGCAAAATTTCAAATTTCAGTCTTATATATGTTACAATAACTCAGATAAAGGCAACTAATGTTAGTAACAGCTAAAATTAGAAAAGTGGACGTATTTCAAGTCTTCGCCAAGCCTCCGCCGAGCCCACGCCGTGCGTTTGCCGGCCACAGGCCTCGTAAATACTTCTTACAGCCTTTTTTTGGGTATCCACTTGCTCTACCCCCCGTATTGGTGGATTTTGCATTGACCCGAACTGTCGTTGACCCGAAAAATCGAGACGCGTTTTTTAGGCCATCTGAAGTCAAGGTTGGGCCAATATGCCTTTCAGAATTGCTTTGCTTTATGTAATATCCTTCCAAATCTTTTCAGGCACAATCAGAAGCTCCTCCACAATAATCCGTCCGGCTTTTATTGAGCCATTCCGACCAAACAGACTTGACGCGTATCCATTGTCGTCCAGAGGAGACGGAACCAGGCTGGATTGCCAAGCCCCTCCACATTATCCAAGTGGGTTTGAAATCTCTTGTAACATTATGCAAAAGGGCAAAAACCTTTACTTTTTTTAATTTCGACGCTGACTTTTCCGATTTTGAAAAGACATTTTAACGACAATATCGCTAAAAGAATTGAGGTGTTTTGTCTAGAAGAATAAGACAAAAGAGACGAAAGATTCAGGACTGATCCGATTTTGTCCTTTTTATGTTTGTTTTATGGATTTTTTGCGGCTATTTTTGCGTTTTGTCCCGAGCACTAGGCGTTTTCAAAAGTACATAGACTTTTTTCGCGGTGAACTGTGCACTTTGCTTTTTTGCATTGTGCGATAATGTCTGTCGCGCTCGCAAAGTTCGTGGCGACAAAAAATCTTTGTGTCGCGGCGATTTTTCAACCGCATTTGCATAAGGTGAAAGGCAAAGTTGGGAGAGCTAGCGAAGAAAAAGTTGCTGCTATTTTAAAAAAGCGTAGTATCAGTCTGTCGGGAAAATAATGAGTACAATTGCGTAAATTGCGTCGCTCAAATCAAAAGAAATTTGATTTTGCCGCGACGAAATTAAATTTTCCGGCGGCGATGCAATTTTTGGTTTTTATGCTCATTATTTTCCCGACCTACTGCCGGTAACCTGACCGAACTGTTATCAGGTACCAATTGCTCAAATAACTAATAGGAAGGCTTAGAATTCACCGAAGCCCCGGAAATTCTCCAACGACTCTCTGTAGCGCCTTCAGCGCACAAAAAATCAACGTCTTCTGCAAGCCCTCGGCTTGTGAGAGTATAAGACATATTATGCCTGTTATTATTTGCATTTCTATATATTTTTTTCGACCCGAAAAGCCATTGAGTACACTCTTTTCGCTGTTTCTTTTGTTTGTTCACCTAATTCAAGTCGGAGGAGTTATGAGGAATATACCGCCGACTTCGAGGAGGAAGTGGAACTGATAGTCCGCTCTCCCCCGGAATCCTCACCCCATTCCCCTGCACTTGGAGCGTGCTCGATTAGCGGCAGTTTGTTTTTGAGGTGGATGAAGCTGCGTGTCCTTAATTAGGCGCCTGCAGACAGTGTCCTTTTCGCTCAGCTGGACGGGATGACCTTTGTTGGGGGTTTGGAAATTTAAATTAACAGAGAAAGTACTACAACTGCGACGCTGCGGCTTTGATGAAACTTGACATAGATTTGGATTATTTCTTGATAAATTTTATGTGAGACTACGAACTCGCGCTGTCCAGAAACGAGTGAAAATGTTATGGTTGAAAGCCGGCAAATGTGTGGCGTATTTTTGCGAGTTTTCGCATGAAACGATTGCTGCCTATTTCTACCGTAAAACGTAATTTTTCCACAAAAAAGTTGTTTGGGTGGAAGCTGGCAAGGATACGGCCAAAAATTTTTTTTCTCTATGACCGCCCTTCGCATTTCGCATACTCTCCCGGCCTGAAACAGTCGTTGCATATCTCTGTTGTGGCTGCAAAGCAAGAGATAAGATTTTTAGAGATTGATTTGTGGCCTATGCCTGATACGTGTGCAAAGCTTAAGAAAAATTTGAAGCGCTGCACGTGGAGTACCTCCCTTGATAACTTGATTTTAAAGCTTTCAAGACAGGGCAAAGTCCTTCCGAGAACTGATTAAAGAAGTTCATGATTTTCTGCAGACCCAAAAGGTCGGCTACAGCCAATTTCCTGATCAACCTTGATCAAAGTTTTGCGAATTTTTTATAATTTCACGGCGTTTTCTTATGACTCATTTGTCGTTTTGTAATTTTCACAAGATGTTTTGTCTTGAATCACTTGAAATTTTTCATAATTCACGATCAAGTGGTTGGAGAGGTAAATGGGGAAGAGTAATTGACAAAGGGCGAATTAGTGTCATAAATTTGAACCTTAATCGAAAATGGTTAATCATCAGTAATTGGGTGGGAGAATTGGTTTGTAAAGTGTTTGTCGGCGTGATAAATTGATGATTGTTTTTGCACATCAAACCGTGGAGGTCTTAAATTACTTGTATAGGGCTTCGTTGCTATCAGTCTGTCGGGAAAATAATGAGCACTCTGCCGCATCGAAAATTGCAAAAAAAATGAATTCTGTCGCGACGAAATCAAATTGCTTTTCACTTCAGCGACGCGACCGGCGTAGCGACATTGCGTCATTATTTTCCCGACAGACTAATACAGAGATTTTACCTCTAGGCCTTCAGGGCCTTCCCAAAAAGTTTGCTGATTTCCAGCCTTATTGCAATTATGTAAATACCCTCCCCATCCCTTCGCCGTTGTTTACCCCAAACATGGTCGGAGCATACAAAAGGTCCTTTCTCCGTTTTTGTTTTCCGAAAATTTGCGTCAATTTCGGGCTGAAAACTTTCTCCGAAAGTGCGGCTGATTTGCATCGCTCTGATAGACGGACCCCCTTCTTTTGTGCTGCGCTGAATTTGTGATAGCGGGGATTTGAATAAATTCGGGGATTTCGGTGGCTTTGAAGTGCTATTGTTTGGTGGTCGCTTTGTCCGAAGTCTGGGATTTTGAGTCAGTCTGGCTCGAACTGATTCTTTTTTGAAATTCTGGGAGTTGAAGACAATAAAAGGTACCTAACTCCTTCTATTTCAAACCGTTTGGTTTTCAAAAACCCCTAAAAATCCCGTTTTCGATTCCCGTGCCCTAAGGCCATCCCTCTTCTTCTTCTCCATTTATCAGTCCCATTATATCCGAATGGCCTCCAGCGATTATCTATAGCCATTCCCAGATCATATACAGCTACCAATTGCCTGCTGAGAAAACAAATTTGAACGAGCAAACCTGCAATGGGAGAGTCGGTTTCGGGGCCGAGAGTACTTCGAAAAATAAAAAATTGTTTTTTTGGCGGATCAAGGGTGATTTGAGTGGGAGGTGGGAGGAGGCGAATTCATGATTATGAAAAAACACAGGAACTCGATTTATGTGTCGTAGGTGTGTTTGTGGGGTGGTCGTTTGTGGGGCAGGAGGGTGGTAGCTGTTGGGAATTAGTTGTTTTTTAGCTGACGGTAGAGCTTGAGATGCAACTTACAGATAAACGTAATGTTACTACCTGCCTGCCGGGAAAATAATGTGCAATATGTCGCATCAAAAATCTCCGAGAAAATGAATCGTGTCGCTAAAAACTCAACTTGCTTTTCACTTCTGCGACGCGATCGGCGCAGCGACATTTCCCTCATTATTTTCCCGACAGACAGGTACATCAAAATCAGAGCTATTCAAGGCCCATGCAAGATTTTTGTTTTACGTCTTCACGTACAGTCAGGACTTTTGCAGTTCAAGAGCCATAAAATTCAGCCTACTTTATGCTTTTTAACGCAAAATTAATTGAAAAATTTTTTCATGCGACGTTTCTTTAAAGAATTTTATTTTCTAGATTTCCTGGCTATCTATGCTATCTGCCTTGCAGACAAAATGTCAGGCAGTATCCTTGCTGCATCTGAAAAACGCGAATTCTCTAAAAAATGAGATTTCGCTCTTTTCCAAAGCGAAATTCATAATTTATCAAGCCCCCGCTCTTTTTTGAATAATTGACCCGTTCAACAAACCGTATGCTCCTCCAAATTCCTCCATATTTCAATTATCCGGCTTCAGCTCCTTCCGACTCAATTTATTTTCCCCGTAGGCATGCAGATGGATCGCTTAATCAACCAAATTTCCTGATCGGGATGACAAATTGCCTACGTAAGACGCCATCGTGTTTCTTCCTGTTTTTTGATAGTTTGTCTTCGGCCCAAATCTTCGCTGTATATAATCGCGTTTCTCTTTCGAGCGTCAGCTGTGCCTGGACGTCTGAGCGGCTTGATCGTCAGTCTTTTTTATAGCATGAGGAAGATTTAGAGGTTCATGGAAATTAACTGTTTATAAGGGGGTTTTAACTGCCTTTGTTGCCATACGTTAGTCAAAATCAAATGGTGTTTTGCAACGCTTGCAAAGCACCATTTGCCTTTTTAATGCTCACGTCTTACTCGGAAGACCTCGATTTCTTATTCTTACAGAAAATTTGATAAGATAACAGTACAAAAGCTCCAAAAAATTGAAAAACTCAAGCGATCGCTCAATTTGGTCGCTATTTTGATTTTCTCGCCTCGTACAGCGCTTCATAAACTTTCCTTTTTTATGAATAATCCCCGCCATGAACAGAATGTTAATACTAAACGTTTTTGCATTCAAAAACGTAGCGGTTTGTTTATTTAGCCGGCTTAATTTTGGGGAGGAAAGGCTTCAGCCGTTTTTTCTGCGGCTTTGCGTTATTATTTCGCTAAATTGCAGCGTTTTTATTGGCTGGTGCACTATTAAAATTTTGGTAAATTCTGCAACTTTCTCCATAAGAAAGTTGCGGAACCCACATTACTTCAAACCGCCAGCCCAAAGATTAATTTCGGCTTTATTGGAGGGGACATGCGGCCACTCATGGGACAATTTAGCCAATTTCCGGCGACAACTCGACCCTCCCGCAAATTCCCTCGCCCTGATTTCGGTCTCAGGCTTTTTTCCGCGAACTGCCCGAGGCAATTTCGGAAAATCCGCGGGGCTTTTTGACAAAATCCGCTTAAGGCGCTTTTTGCGGATTTAAATCCGCATTATGATGTTGGGGCTGGAGAGGACATATCGCTCCGCCGAACTTGAAATTAACTCCTCTTGGCGACGGGGGCGCGCTAAAAGTGGGGATTGGATTAGCGATAAGTGAGTGGGGCAAATGGGTCCGCTCGAGGGGTTGGGTGGTCGATTTCGAGGCCGGTTGGCTAGGCTGTTGATATTATTGCGGGAAGATACGAACTTCCAGTGAGGTCAGTATCAGTCTGTCGGGAAAATAATGAGCAATATTTCGCATCAGCAGTCATATCACCGCTGAGAAAATAAATTATGTTGCAGCGAAATAAAATTGCTTTTCACTTCAGCAATACGATTTGTGATGCGATATTGTGCTCATTATTTTACCGACAGACTGATTTCCAGATCTTGAAAACTACTAATCTTTTGTGTGTTTTCGGATTCTGCCAACGCTCTTATTCTCTCACAAAAATTTCCACAGTAACCTCGTTCCTTCCTCGATGCACCATTTCCAAATTTCATGCTCGTAAAACAAACTTTGAAGGCCCCCCCCCCCCTCAAACCGCCCGCGCCGCAGCTGAACCTGACACTCTCCTCCTTAACGGATTCAATTTGAGTTGCCTGAGGGCATCTCGTTCTGTGTCATCACGAGACTTTTATTTGGTTAGTCCTGAAAGCCTGTATAGCTTCCGAAATTCAATTTACTCAATCCCCGGCCCCCGAAAATGAGGCCGCCATTTCAGGCGTGGTTGGGCCGCAACGGAAGGATGGAATGCGGCTTCTCCGTAAGATTTCCGGCCGATTTTTTCGTTGAGACAATGTGATGGGCTTGGAATCGGAGCGCCGGCGGTTTTCTAGAGGGTTTTCTATGTCAAGCGGTTTATTTTTACGATTACTGTGGGGGTTTACATCTATTTTGGTCTTAAAGCTTATTGGATTATAAATTAAGGACCAAACTTTTAACATAATTTCAAAAAAGGCCAATCCTTTAACATAATTTTGAATTGTAGTGCCATTTATTGTCAAAGCCACGCATTCAGCACCCCCTCTCGTCCTTATAGCTTTCGCTTTTTGACTGCATATTCAGTTAATTATAGTAATATAAACCATTGTCTATGAAAAATTACCCACATAAGCCGTCTTCGAACACGTCTCCTTGTCTCCCTTCATACTCTTTTTAACCGAGTAATTTAACCGCAGAAGCCGGCTTACAAAAAGGTTTACGCTCCCCTTTTGTATCATTAAATAATAATTAAATTCCGGTTAGTTTCTCATTAAAATCTTCATTTGAAATCCCCTTGAGGCGTTCAAGAGGCAAAATGATGCGCATTGGGAGGGAAGCGAGTGGAGGAAGAGAGGATTCTAACCATCGACTTCATTACGGAGTAATGCAGTTTGGGTTGAGAGGGTACGACGGGTATTGTAGGGTATGGTAAGAGGGGATTTTGGGGAAGAATTATGAATTTTTTGGAGCTGTTGGAGTTTGGTGAGACAAAAGGCGTAGTACACATCAATTTGGTATGATGTAGGTATTTAAAAAAAAATTAATTTGAATATCACTCTGTCGGGAAAATAATGAGCACTCGTCGCATCGAATATCTGGGTATGACGATTATTTTACGGTATGGTAAGAGGGGATTTTGGGAAGAATTATGAATTTTTGAGGGTTTTCAGAGTTGGAGCAGTCAAAAGCAGTTGATTAATAACTAGTAAGGAACTTTTGAAAAAAAAAATCAATTTGAATATCAATCTGTCGGGAAAATAATAAGCACTCTGTCGCATCGAAAATCGCATAGCCGCCGAGAAAATATCAGTCTGTCGGAAAAATAACGGCGGATCGTCGCAGCAAAATGTCTCGCCTCGCCGCGATCGCGCACCAAATCCCAAGTCGCGGCTTGCAGTCGCAAAGCGATGATGAGCGATTCCGAGGCGCGACGATCCGCCGTTATTTTCCCGACAGACCGATAAATTGTGTCGCGACAAAGTCAAACTAATTTTTACTTCAGCGACGCGATTGGTGTAGCCACATTGTACCCATTATTTTCCCGGCAGACTGATTCACTTGCCTTTCGACTATTTCCATAGTCTTTTGCACCTCCAAAAATCCCCAAACCGCTTTTGCAGCCGATTTTTTGCCCGATTTAACCCGAGAATCCGCGAATTCCACCCAACGATAACCCCGATTCCACGCACCCCGATATCTAATCTCCCTGTAATCTAAATTGTCATTACAGCCCGACCTGACACAAATAGCGCTAGCGGACGGCTTTTTGCTGTGTTTCAAAAATTAATTAAAACAGCCTCGATTTATTGTTTCTGAAGCGGTTTTCGAATGGTAATTCCACAAGGGTAATGAAGCATGTTGTGGCGAGAGTCTTGACGTGATAAAAAGACGAGCGAAAAGGGTGGGAAATTAGATTAGAAGAGTTGCGGGGACCAGTGTCAGGTTGTTTTTTGGGGGTCTTGTTGCACTGCCTAGGTGTCCGCAAAGTTTGAGATTGATAAAGAACTTGTGATTACAATTTATTATATCTCCATTTGCAATGCAAGTCAGGCTTGTTTTGCATGTCGATTAGCACCGAGACCAGTTTGTTTCCACCTGTCTAAATTTTAATTTCCCATGCCCACCTGATTTCCCGTGTTGTTGTAGGTGTTGTTGGTCCTAATCCGCCGCAGGCGCAGTTACGTAAATCCGGTTCTTGGTTACATTTTTGGATATAATCCTAGGTTCTTGGGGAATCATAGGAAAAATATTTCAATCTTTTTTATCGACTAGCAACGGATTTAGCGCTTGTATCTTTATCTCTCTTACTGTTGAATCATAACGGCATTTTTTTCGAAAAAATGCAGTTAAGACTTTTTACAACGGGCTGCAAGATACCAAAGTATGCACTCCGTTTGCACTGTCCGCTAGAGGAGTTTTTGGCCTTTACAGAGCAAAAAATTCAGGGTTCCAGTGACAGCGGAAGAAATCTTATTGCACGGTGCAAAAACCCTATTACACGGTACGAAATAAACTTTTGTCTTCTCACTTTTTATGTCGCAAAAATCCCCTCAGCAACTTTGCAAACGGACTAGTATTCATAGTAAAAAACTTTCGTTGTACGGAGGTTTATTTTAGTCGAAAATTGGCCCCTAGAACCCTTGTAAATGCTTGCTATAGCCAAGTTTTTACGTACATTGCTGAAAATTTACCCCTGCAGCCGTATTTACAAAAACAAAAGCCAAAAAACCCCCATGCGGATCTGTTTTTTGCTCCCTTTTTACCTGATTTTTGCGACCCGTTTGATCCCGGTTCGCCCACGCTGCCCGTGAAACGGGCATGATGCCGTTCGGCCCCGTCCTTCTCGAGTAAATTCGCTGTCCCCGAGACCACTAGTTTGTTTTTCACGCGCAAGAAGACAATTAAACCGGCAGAGGAGGCAAAAGAATGGGAGTGGAATTTGGTTTATCCGTGCCCGTAAACAGACCTGATCATTCCTAATGCATTAAATATTACGCTTCTTTCTTCGTTTTTTCTCGTTCTGTTGGTAGTTTACTACCTGTTAGGTCTAATTTGGGGTCTCGATGATTACAGCTGTGGGTTGTAGAGCTAATTAGAATTTTGCGAATGTTTTCGGCTACAGATTATGCGTTGTTTACAGAAGCTCGCGTATTTCGAAGGGAGGGTTTTGTTGTTCCGAATTCCTTTTCTTTGGAATTTCTAATATCTGCGAGAGATAGTGTAAGAAATTTGTTAAAATTGTGTGGCTAGCTGCTGGAGCGCGCAAATTTGTAATCTTCCGGTGGTTTAATTTTTTTTTATTGACCGTCATTCGTCATGTGGCGCTTTACCTTCCTGGTGCGTTTTATTAACTGGTTTCGTAAAGTGTGTTGCCAATAAAATACTATGCAACGGAAAAAGATTATACGAAAAAAATTTCTGTCGGGAAAATAATGAGCAGAATGTCGCAGCATCGATCGTGTCGCTGAATTGAAAAATAGTTTGATTTTTCCGCGACACAATCTATTTTCTCGGCAGCGATGCAATTTTCAAAGCAACAGAGTGCTCATTATTTTTTTGACAGATTGATATCAAGGTTTAATCACCTTTGCCTCAGATTTGGATCATTTTTTTGTCTAAAACGATGAGAATTCGCACAAAATACGGCCCCTAAAGTATTTTTCTGCCGCACCTAGCGTACGCTCTCGTCCGTTAAGAGCAAAAAATTACTCCTATAACGCGCGAGCTAAGATTCTCAATATTTTTACGTGGCAAGCCCTACTTGCCTGCAAAATTTAGAGAAAATATAGGTGTCGCCTAAAACTGTTCCCTTCTCAGCCGGGAGATTTTTTCCCTGCTCATCTTCAACACAAAGCCGAACTTATCTCGCTGAATCTAGCCTAGATTCACCCCGAAATTCCGAAAATAACTGCTGCCGTTGACTGGTTGCGTTAGTGCTGTCTCCATTTCTTTCTCGCCGCTGCAAGATAAAAAATAGAAAGATGAGCGGCGAAAGGAAATCCGTATCCGCCCGTTTTTTGTGATAAAAATCCCGAAATCTGCCGTGGGGGTTTGCGCCCGAATCATGTTGTGTCCGTTTTCATGTTCTTTATTGCCGCCGTGATGGATTGGAGTTCGGGATTTCGGATTTTGATCGTTGAGATTGGGTCGGGAAAAGGTCGGCTTGAACCGATGGGCTTTTGCCCTGCGGCTGTCTTTGCGTTCCGTGAGATTTGGGGCTTGGCGTTGTCTTTTCTTTCTCCGAAGAGGAGCCTGAGGCGTTTTTTCGTGAGACAAAATTATATATGATTATGAATACCTCTTTGTTTGCGGTTTTATAAGAGCATTATCTTCGTATGGCCGAGTTCTTCGGACTCCGGTCCAGGCGTTAGGGATTTTTCAACTTCTGCCTTTGTAATACTCCATTTCTCATCTGTACAGTCTATTTTACTCGTAAAATCACCCGCCCCTCATCCACCCCTAAAGATGTTCACCCATCCCGCGAATTGACCCTCTCACCCTCAAGGACGCTGATTTACAGCTATTTTTCGGCGCTACTTTTACGGGCTTGGACTGTAAATCTTGAAAGACTTAATGCCATCTTAAACCCTCGTGTTATACGATCGTGAACTTGAACTTTCGGATATAAAGGCCGCGGATTCTTCAGATTCTCTCAGGCTTGTGGTGAAACCTGCCGCACTGTGCACCATGTAGCTTTTTGTCTAGATTGCACTGCGTCCTGTAATATGGCAGATTGTTGATGGATAAGAGAGCCCGGATATGGATGATGGATAAGGAAAAGGAGAAATACGACTACGATGCAGCGGATGGGTGGATATCCTTAATTTTGAAGTGATCAAGCCTTTATTCTCTATGAAGCAAGGGCCCACCGGTAAAAGCCCATCAAAGAAGAGGAAGATCAGAAGGGTTTCCTGGGCATCGATGACTGATCCATTGACATTTTATCAACATCACTGACATCTTACGCCTATTTGGTTCAAAATAGTTGTTTCTTATGTATTACAGTCCGCCATACTCTCACTACACACACCACAAAGTAGTCTCGCCTTGTAGCAACACACCTCTCGTCATCTTTTTTTCACTCATTCATTTTTTGCAACTTAGGATCCTTATTACTCTTAGGCACTCGCATACACGTCTGATATAGGCATCACTGTAGGATTTTCACATTAGCGCCTATATAATCAAAAACAATAATGTCGGATAAGTCATCCGCAATTTTTGCAACGCACTCCGCACCAATATTTGCCGCTCACTATGACCTACAATCACTCATACAATCACAAACCGCAATCACCAAGAAATTCACGTTTGTTCCGCACCATACACACACACAATTGCACTCACGCTAACACAACACGCTTTTGTTGTTGTTTTGTCCCGTCTTGTCCACTCACTGCACACTTATTTTTTGCTAGCACCTACGTTTAATGTAGAACAAAAGCACTATACGTTCACACACTAATCACCTGTTTGTTCATGCACTAATCACTGTAACCACAAAACACGCACAAACGCACACACATCTTATTCAAAAAGCACAAAAACACTGAGAAGTCGAAAAATGCACTGCACTTTGCACATTACCGCACTTTTTATAAAACAATGCAATCACTGCACCGTGCACACACAGCATTGCCTCACGATGAGCACAACAAAAATTCACTAGCTTCACACGGAATTCCGGACCACAATTTTGCACATTGCAACACCCACACACACTTTTTGCGGCACCTTCACCACACACCTTATTGCAGTGAATATTAGACACATCACAGTGCACATTAGACCACCCCATCCTTGCTATAGCACGGTGCACGCACACGGCATCACTTGATCAATTCACTCACCCCGCTCTACGAGGGATTTACTGTTAGTCCGCCGCCCCACTTTCACCCCCATTTCACAACACTTTCACCACCCACAACTTACACTTACACTCATAGAACACCCTGGTAGTACAAAAACACCTAGGAAAGAGACGGTAGCTCACGCCTAGTCCCACCGCTTACGAAGCACCGGTTAAGACAATTTACACTTTATAGTCTACGTTTTTCAAGCAAGATTTTGCAGTTTAAATAGTCTTCAGTAAAATTTTATTGCTATTTACGACCACTGTTGTCGTCACTACGCCCTTGTCTACGCACAATCTTCACATTCACCTAGTCCAAATCACTATTATTACCTTGTTTTTCGCACTTTCACTCAAAGCAGAAGTCTGCACTATGTCTGCCTGCGCAATGCACAGCACTCATAACAAGTCTCGTCCCAAAAAAACTCAAAAACATTGTAAATGGTATCTATTTTTGTCAACGTGACACAACGCACGGTGCTTACGCGCACAACTGTTATTACGAATAAAAATTTTGCACTCACCGATGAACTTTGCATTGTTGTAAATGATTTTTTGAGCACATAAACACGTTATACGCACAGTGAAAATTGGAGGTTGAATTAAAAAATTTTTAAACTTCGAAAAGGTGAAGCCAGCGTTGAAATAAAACTAGAGCAAATGTTATTAATGCCCTAGAATGTTGGCTATGATATAACAAACAATTCCTCTTCAGAATCCCATCGTTATTCATGGATGCGAAGCGGAGTTACCGACAAATTTGTCAAGGTCGACGAGAGAGTTTATGTTTCAATGGATGGCACTCTCTACTTCTCGTACAACGTCAAGTCCGACGCTGATACGTATGCCTGCACGCTGGCTTTGAACGGGCCACGCTCCGGCCAATACGGTCCATTCTTCAACTTGGTACTGCCACAGACCACGGAGAATGTAACGTTCGCTCCTAAAATTGATGAGTATCAGCCACAAGTGTTCCCGGAGGTCCCAGTTCGCGGGCAGATCGTTCAAATCGAATGTTTTGCATATGGATTGTAAGTTTTTACAGTATGAAATGACTAATTTATTAGGATAACATCCGTTTTTGATCATGCTCTTTTGCTCTTGAAACCCTCAACGCTTTCTTTTTCAGCCCCGCACCCACCTATTCTTGGACTAGAATGGATGGGAAGCCACTGTCCAAAAGACATCAAATCACAAATTTTGGACGCGTCTTGAAGATATTAGCTGCTCAACCAGAGGATGCTGTTGTTTACAAATGCACGGCAACCAACGAACGTGGAGTGGCTTCGGCGGAACTTCATCTGGTCATTCAATGTAAGGAAATGCAGAAAAAACCTTGGCTTTTGTACAGACAGCCTTTATTATTTCAAAAATTTCAATTCCAGCGCCTCCATCAATCCTCCGGCCGCTCAAAGACACGATGACCTCTGTCTACTCTGAAGTCAAGTTCTCCTGCCCTTCGGCGGAGCCAACTCCCGGCCACGGCTCTCATATCGAATGGTTTCGGAATGGTCAGCCTTTGGTTCCGATTCTCATGGCTCCGGAAGATCGAAAGCGTCTGAAACTCAAGGGAAATGACTTGATTTTGAAGGATGTTCAAGAAGAAGATGAGGGAATTTATCAATGTCGTCTGACCAACGAGATCGGATCAACTGGCTCTATTGCAAGGCTTACGGTGAAGAATGTTTCACCAGCTTTCCATCCGAATATCTTTCCGCAAAGAGTCTTTGTGGTAGAAGGAACGCGACTTGTAAGTTGAGCAATGCCTTTTATAATATAGTCTTTGTTACAAACAAGTTTTAAAAGCAAATTTTTTAGCTGCTACCGTGCCTGTATTACGCGATACCGCATGGAAAAGCAAAGTGGCTGCGGCACGATGGCTCCAATGCAAAATTCGAAGAGATCGTAGAGAATAACGTGACCTTACTGCTTATTGAGAAGTTTACCAAAGCTCATTCGGGCCGATATGAATGCAGAGCAACAAACAATGCGGGCGAAGCCTCAGCGTTTGTCAATATCACCCTAATGAGTGAGTTTTGGGCCTTTAAAACCTTAGACACCACACCAGCAACTATTAATTAAATGAACTCAATTTTTAGCCAAGCCAAAGGTTTCGATTAGTCAGTCTGTTCAGCAAGAAGACGAAGGCGGCTACGGAATTCGTCTCACTTGCGAAGCGGAGCTAGAATGCAGCGAGAGCGACGTTTGTCCGGAGGCTCATTTCGATTGGCAATTCAACGATCAGTCAGCCAGGATGCTGGCCAAGAAAGGACGACTGAAAATGCGACAATTTATCAGAAGTGCAGAGGATCCCGGGCACGTGAAGCAACGAGCGGAGCTTGATGCATCGGCAGCGTTTGTTAACCACAATGTGGGAAGGTTTGCTTGTTCTTCTGTTTTTGGTGGCGCAAGTGCTGAACTGGAGCCTTACGGAGGAAGCTCAATGGCAACGGCATTTACTCCAACACAAGTCAAGCTCTTGGAAGTCCTGCCGACAGCGGTCAAGCTGGCTTGGAGATTGCCGTCGATGGCGAGGAAGAGCGAAGGGATTGTAAGTAATGTTTGGTAGTTTTTCGCATGAACTACTTTGTTGTGGAGCCTCAAAGGCCTCTGCAATTCCCACAGAAATTAGCATAAACCAACTCATATAAAAGCAACGTCTCGTCACCAATTTTAAGAACATAATCTTATTTTCCCTTTCCCGGTGTGGTCTTCTCAATAAACCTTATTCCAAAACATGTGTCTTTCCTGAGAGCGGTGGTCCAAGCGCCACCTCTACTTACCTAGGTTTGATCGTACACCACAACTTATTTTTTTATCACTAACGTTAATTTTCAGGAGGCTAAGCTCGAAGGTTATCAAATCGAGCGTCGCACACAGTCGGATCGAACTTGGCGACCGGTCTCTCAGGCGCTCTACCGAACGCAAGACAAGATTATCGGATCGTATTTGGTCCGAGAGCTCTCTCCAAACACGAAGTACCAATTTCGTGTGCGCACTCAGCTGGCTGATGGAACCCTCAGCCCGGCTTCTTCAAGTACTGACTGGCTTCAGACTCCGCCCTCACCTCCGGAAGATATTGTTCAGAATATCCGTTGGAAAATTCTGGATACATCCCATCTTCTGTTGGAATGGGATCCGGTTGAAACTAAGCACACATCCGGACCGAATCTTCGCTACAATGTCACTTGGACCGACTCCACCAATGATGTTCGTCATCATTACGACATCGTTGATCAGCCGACTCATGTTATCGCGCTGAAGGCGCTAACATCCAAGGAGAAGAAGAGCGACGAAGATTGTCAAATTATTGCCGTGGGCGTTCAACCACTCAACGATCTCGGCGCTGGACCAGCCGCCACAGACACAGTAGTTTATGTGACTGGCCATGGACCGAAAAGGTTTGCCGTTGACGTTGTTCTAAACACCTACAACGCGACGCATCTCAACCTGTCGTGGACGTGGGCGCGAGCCGGCGAATGTGAGAATGTCATAGGCGCGCAGATATCTTGCGTTGAAGTCTTTGACGGGCCCGTGAAAGAGGTCACCGAACAAAATGCAGAATTCAACCTGTCCATAGCCCATTCGTATAGCCAGTGGCTAGTCGGTGGCCTGAAGCCGTGGACCGAGTATCAGTGCTCCATCGGAGCTTTTGATCAATACGGAAGACGAGGAAGGCAGAGCTTGACGACAAAGCCAACCAGGACGGCCGAGCCGGCACCAGTTCATGCGCCGGAGATAACCAAGATAAAGTTGACGGAAACACTAAGTGGCTATACCACGCTGATCGACTGGACGGCGGTAAAACTGCGGACTGTTGGGAATTCGACGGCTAATGAGAGGGGATACAAGGTGAGTTGAACATAAAAAGTGAGACTGTCAGTCAGTCGGGAAAATAATGAGCACAATGTCGCTGCACCGATCGAGTCGCTGAAATTTGATTTTGCCGCGGCACAAGTCATTTTCTCAGTATCGATGGTACCTTTGATGCGACATTTTGCTCATTATTTTTCCGTCAGACTCGTGTTTGCCAAAAAAAGTATTGCCCTTCTAAATACTATGATTTCAGGTTTACGTCTACATAAGTGAAACGGCCGAGAAGCCAGTGGTCCTCGATCTTCTTGAATCTCAACTCCAAGACCCATCCAAGCCTTCAGCCAGGATTGACGGACTAAAGTTGATGTTCTACTACAAGATCCAAGTTGCTGGCTTCAACAAAGGCGGCACCGGACCTCGATCTCAATCCACAACAATACGAATTGGGGCTCCAGACCAACCCTCGTCCGCTCGGTGTGTTTTCTGCAATCCCGCTGCAATCTTGATCGTACTCCTCCTCAGGATACTCCTTTAGCACGCAACAGGTGGCTAGGTTAATATATTTCGCTTGATTCGAGAAAATGGCTCTTTCAACACATCATATCCAGGTGGTTAACATAATGACATGATTTGCATTCTGTAAAATAATATCAGTATCTCAGTTTGTACGCAATATATATTACTCTCGAATGTGCATGACATTTGGCATAAAATAAAGATGTTTATAGAAAATGACGTAGATTTTTAAGGGGTTGTTGTGTGCTTTGATCCTATTGATTCCTTCAAAGCAATCTTGCGATAAGATCGACAATCACAAACACATTGAGCCTGAAAACGTTGAAGAGGCTGGCAGTTGAGCCGGAATATTTCTTCCGTTCGCTACGCCAAACTTTGTGGTTATCAATTTCTTTGGCTAATATAGCAATCCAAGAATTTGTATACCCAGTCTTGGAAGTCAACGTCTTTAGAGGTATCCTCAAACAGTTTACTCTGTTTGATGTTACATATGCTGGTAAAAGTGCGTTTAAATTGTTTATTTCTTGATTATTGCAATTTGTTCATGGTAGGTGGACTGCAAGCAGTCCCAACATCAGGACGATACGCGAGTTCCACTGTCAACCAGCGCCTCAGCGGTATTCGTGTGGTACCCTTTGTACCAAGGGTCCACTAGCTTTAATCCTCCTGAATAAGGGCATGTCTCTAACAAATATTCGTCGGAAACGCATGAGTTGCAGCTGTATCTGCAATTCTCAAGCATCCACGGATTCGGATCGCATTTTCCTTGGCTTGCGTGCAATGCACAAGTATCGTAGAAGTCCTCGCATACTAAAGAAGGATGATAAAAACACCGTACACCTTTTGCTTACTAGTGACCGGTCTGGCTTCACCGTCACAGTTTCCACAACTCAGTTGACACAGTTGCTGAATAGCCGGATCTTCACATCCTCCCCGAGGAGCAAACCACTTGCAACACATGTTATTGTCAAAGCAGTTAGGTTCGCAAGTAGTTTGAAACTTGGAATGGAAAGATTTGGATTTGTTGCTTCCGATTGTTACAGCGGCCTTTGCCGTCTCTGAAAAAGCAAAATCACAAAACGGAAAGGATCTCTGAATATGAAGCTTAAACGCCTCTGTTCTTCGCCCTCAACTAACCATCATTATTTTTGGCAGCCTGCACAGAAGCGGCCAGCACTACGAAGACTGCCAGTACAAGTTGCATTATCGCTCTTCACAGCAGACAATCCAGTAGACGACTGCAAGTAATAGGCCAATGTACTTGACACTAATTCCAGCAAAGTTCGTTAGGGAACAAACAATTTCTTGGCTCCGATAAACGGACGGACAATTATGGCTACAGGAAATTTCCGATTGCTATGATATATATTTCGCAGGGGAATAAAAGGAGTGGCAAAACGGAAAGGTTACTAATTCAACGATTCAGAACTGATTAAATTAAATTGCAGAATGGTGTATTGGACGGTCCAAAAAACATTCATTCATGGTTTGACATATTGTTGCATGGAATATGAACATCTTTTTTGAAGAGCGCACTTGCGGAAAACCAAGGCCAGAGAAGACAATAAAACAACCGTCGAGCAGCTCGAATTCAAGTGATTTAATGAGTGACAAGCGGACCTTGTGTAGGGAAATCCTACGTGGGAAAGCACAATCAAATTTTCTCACATCAGTACCAGGAACTTGTCAATACAAAATTTCTACTATACTACGTAATAGATTACGGTGTTAAAATAGTAACCCTAGTTCTCAAATCTTCACTATTTTTTAAAGCAGCACATTCCCTCGCTATGGCCTGCCAAAATGCCATCTTATTATCAATTTTTTCTTTATTAAAACTTGTTTATGGCGAATGATATAATAGTAAATATAGATCAAAATCTTCTTTTATAGAATCTGGAGGGCGTAATTTTAAAGCCGGACAACTGCAAGCATTCCCATCAACAGGCCGAGGCTCGCCGACACCAAGCCAACGGAGTTCTTTCGGTCGGAGAGGCCAATGGTGTACTTCTCCGTCTCCTTCACCAACTTGATGCAATAGTTCTTCAGGACATTGTTATTGAGGCCGAGCTGAAAATCATCATGGGTACCAGTCGGGTCGGCGTTCAGAACGTATTTCTTGTCCTTTTCCACGAACAGCTGTTCTTTCGGGATCTTGATCTCAACCTTTCCGTGCTTGATCACCAAATCCGTCGCGTTTTTGTACTCATCAGCAGACAACTCTCCCGAACCGAAGATCTCGGCCTTGATTCTATCATTGATAAGTAGTTTCTCGGTGAAAGCGGGTGCCACATTCACGAGGCCTGATTTTCCACTGTATGTAATGCTGCAAATACACCGTTAGCGATTTAAAATTTATTTTTGATATATTGCAAGAGTCTAAATGAACGTACTTGATCTGCACCGCCCACGAACTTTGGTTGCTGAACACTTGAGTGTCTTGCAGACTGAACTCGGCGCAAGCTTTGTTATCGTCCGCTCCAACAACCACCTGGCCTTCGCTCTTGCTGTTCTGCAACGTTTAACTGTTCAAGCCATTCTCACAACTTCCAAAATACCCTGATTTTTCGCTCACCTTGGGGTCTTTCGGGATGATCAACAAGAACTTTTTTCCTTCTTCCTGACCATCGACCAACGAAGAGAATGCAGTGTCGTCTCTGTGGATTCGCAAGCCGAAATAGGCGTCGCTGTCAAAAGAAACCGTTTTCTTGGGATCGATAGGCTTTGTTGCAACCAAGATCTTGTGCGTAGAAACGGCTTTGTCCAGCTGAAATATAGGACCTTAGTTTTATAACCTTTGTCTGCCTATGTAATGCAAAATTTGTATGTTATAGAGTACACAGCAACTGGAACAACAAGTCATACGTATTAATCCTGCGGCAAAAAGTTTTGAAAATCTATCGTGCCACGAATTCTGTCGCACTCTAAAAGAATTTTTTTTTCGCTCCCACAAATGGATATCGCATTTTCCCCGATTAGTAGTAAACATTTTGTTTTTTACGTAACATTTTAGTGTTTTAAGTAACACTTTATAGTGTTCTAGGTTACGTCTCATTCGATTATGTTTTTATACAGTTTAAGATTAACATGAAACTTATAAGAGGCGCTTGTTACGTAAAAAGACTCTTTCGGCTTAAACTTCCACTTGGGACTTTAAAAATTTCTAATTAAACGGAGGTCATTGACGGACGCATCACTGCGTGCCAACGCCCTTCAAACTGACCTGGACTGTAATTCCACTGTACTCATCTACGACGACGCCGTTGAAATGCAAGTCTTGAGACCCAACAGTTCCGTTGTTTTTTCTAAAAGAATGCATCATATTACATATATGGCTCGGGGCTTCTAAATCTATCCGCAAGGGTCCATACGAACCCTGCAAGTTTAGTCCAAAGTGAAAAGTTGACGAAAAAGGAGGAGGCGGCAGAGAAGGGCAGAAATTCTTACAAAGAGAGAAATTGCGCAACGTTATGCCAGATTGCGTAACTTCTAACTTTGTACTAAATTTGCACGGTTCGGATAGACTCTTGCGGAGAGACATAGAAGTCCCAAGCCATATATATACATTGCTTACACCGGGTCGAAGGTCGCATGAGCTTCTTTGGCACAGCTGTCAGCTTTCTCGCAAGCAGGACCAAAAACAAAGATGTCGCTGTGGTCGGCTTGGAACTTGAAGTCCAAGGATTTGGATTCCTCGGTTCCAATTGTCAGAGCGGCCTTTGCAGAATCTGAAAAAAATGAGATAAGGAATCGACAAGATCTCTGTCAGTCTGTCGGGAAAATAGTGGGAGCTCTGTCGCTGCGCCGCTCGCGAAGTTAGTAAAAATCAAATTTGATTTTGTCGCAACACAATTTAGTTTTTCGGCGGCGATGCGACATTTGGGTACGAAATTTCGCACATTATTTTCCCGACAGACTGAAAACCATTTCTAAAACGTCGCTACGGCTAGCAAAACCGCTGGAGTGACGCTTGGCATTTGCACTGTGTCGAAAAAGCGACGGTGCAAACGTATAAAAGCCTATATCACTGTGCAAAGCGAACTTTTGTCTGCTCACAATGCATCACTCCAGCGACCTTACTAAGAGACAAGTAAATGGATCGCCGCAATGTCTTCACCCTAGCCATCAACTCACCATCGTAATATTTGGCAGCCTGCACCGAAGCCGCCAGCACCGCCAAGATTGCCAGTGCAAGTTTCATCATCTCTCCTCACAACGAACAATACCAAATGAAGGCTGCAAGTAAGAGGGTTATGTACTTGACACCGCTTCTAACGAAACTGTGTGCTGTTTCGGGAACAAGCCGTTTTTTCGGTTCCGATAAACTGATAAGACGATTCGGGCCACAGGAAATTTCCGATTGCTTTGATATTACGTGGAGGAATAGAAGGAGTGACAAAACAGAAAGGTTCCCCAAAAAGCTGATTGAATTAGACTACAGGGTGTGGCTGGGCGCGGCCCCAACGATTTGTTTTGCGCCTTGGTTGCGCAATTGTGACTTATGAGAGTTCAAAAAATGAATTTGAGATGTTGAAATTTACAAAAGAAATTGTTTAACGGAAAAGGAAAACAGCAGTGTGCTGAAGGCTGGACAAGTGATGATTTGGTGCTTAAAACCCGAATAGCTCTGTAACAATAACAAGCCTGAATAGTCATGTTTTCGTGAAACTGGCTGACTCAGACCTTTGGTCTGAACAATAGCGAAATGAGTATAGTTTGGACCGATTTATAAATAAAAATCAACCTTATCATCTTCGACAACGCAGAAGGGCTTACGCCAATGCCTCTGACAAGGCTTGAAATTTGAATATGACGTCTAAAAGGGCTATGTTTTACTGCAAAAAAATATGAGTCAAGCTAATATGGTGGTACTGAATAACACTTTTGCCGAAGAGTTAGCTTTTTTAACTCGCAAAGGAGTATGACAAACAACGGCTTTATCTGTGGAATGCAGTCTTCTGTTGTCTTACGACATTATTAGTCATGCCTTATCATCATGTTATTGAGGCGGTAAAAGTCCATTGAAAGAGACAGAAATTTTTTCAGTTGTTTTGCATTAACATAATCTAAAATGTTTCTTAATTATGAGGCATTATATACCGACTATTCAAAATGTTTCTGTGTCCAGAAAATGATGAAATTCGCTGTCCGTAAAGATGGCTCCGATTTTACCTCATTTTCCATCTCCGATTCATCTTGACGGCCTTGATCAACCTCCACTCATCAGTCTTTCTAGGGAGTTGAGGTCAAGGAAGTGGAGAGATAAGGACCCTGCCAAATCCACGGTAACGTGGTCGGATCAGAGAGTGTAGCAAGAAACGCGGAGAATAAAGATGGACATATAAGGTAAAAGATGAGCTACCACGTTAAATCGGAAGCTTTGCCTCTCAGGTGGTCCAGTCCAGAATCTCAAGTCACCCAGGACTTAGAAAAGCATGCATGTTCGTTCAGTGGATGTAGATGTACCAGGCCGTGCCCGATTTGATCACTTGGAGGAGATGTGAAACGGAACGACCGAGCTTCGAGGATTTTCTCACTGGAAACTATCTTCCTTTATTCAAATTTGATTGTACTTTTCAACGTGGGTTTCCCTATAAAAGGCGCGCCTTCCGCTGAATAAAATCACTTGACTCGTGAGCTCTCGTCTTGGTTGGTTACTGGGTTGATCACTCGAACCGTATGCCATCGTAACATATTTTCTGGGCACACGAATATTGAGAAGTCTCGAGCCATATGCATATGTAACAACATCACAAAGTTGGGCTTTGATCTTCTAAACTTGCGAGCCTCAAGATGATCTCTTTTGTAGGCTGCGAATTATGGTCCGACTAGCCTGTTACACATTTAACCGACTACTTGTGTAAACACAACTCCATCCGAGGGACTTCCCGAAAATCCCCGCAGTAATTGCGGATAAATGCGAAGATTCCACGACGGAATAACGCTCCTTTGGTTTTTATGTATTCTTAAGCTATTCGTTGCATCGGTTACGATAGCAGTATACTTTTTCATTGATTGTGAGCTAGTGGTTGACCATGAACATTGGAGTGTAAGTCAGCAGCCTTTTCGCTATGTTAATAACCCGCCTTTTCTTTCAGCATTTGGCAATTTTTGTTCTGCAAACAGTGTTGCTGTATACGGCGGTGAAAACGTTTTATTACTCAATCAGATTGTCGTTGATTTCACTGTTCCCACCATCAAATATTGTGCATATTTATCTGCTTTTCTGTATGTCCGTAAAAAGCATTACTGTATTTTTTGGAAAATTCTAGATCTCCTGTTAACAATCACTTCTCTTCTTGGTATTTTATACAGAAAAGATACTCTGCCAGAAGTGAAATACCTCGAGATATGGTTTGCGGTTTTGCTGACGTTCTGTTTAGTAAAAATTGCAGAGGGTGCCGCAAGCAAATGGCAGGTAGGTGAAGAGAAATGATGATTATATTCTATGATACTTTTAATTAAGGATGACTAAACCTTATCATCAAATATTTCCATTTATTTAGATGATAAAGCGGAAATACAACCGTTGACGGACAAAATAGAGTTCACAAGTTCCGGTTACAAAGAGTTTGTATAATGAATGCTTATATGCGAAGCCAGGTCATCGCAAATTTCTGAGGTCTCAAGGGAAATAATTTCATCAACGAAACCGTCTAAAACGAACAAATTTTTTGTACGGTTGCAATTTTCTTTACAGAGGCTTGATTTTAGATTCTTCATTATTGTTAGTCTGTCGGAAAAATAATGAAAAAAGTACTGTAGGGATCACTGCGTCCAAATTCCTCAAATGCCCGTGACATTTCTAGCTGAGCCGCTTCAAAGCCTACCTCTCGCTGCAAAACACTCTGGCCAATGTGGAAATCACTGACGGCTTTGTTTATCTGAACTATCAGTTTTTGTTTGCGAACCGCGCCTTCGGCCGCAAATATCGGAACGATTCGACCCTCGAATCCACCCTCATCTACGAATACGTGCGTCTGCGGCGCTACTCGAACCTCTTACAGCGAATCGGTTCGACGTCAAGCATGCCAGCCAAATTGATGATTCATAACGATTTGCTGGGAGAGATAACAAATCACATAAATTTTTTGTTGCTGAAGGACCGCTCTCTGAAGCGGTTCGACCAGTTGACAGATTATCAGTTACTGGAAATGTAAATAAACACCTGTAAAGGAAAACAAAGAGATCGGTACGAGTGTGTGTACATGATGGGTTTTATTATGAGTCAGAGCATTTTTCAAAGAGATTTTTGATAAGACTCCATACAGATTTCGTTGAAATCGATGATTCGCGAATTGGGCGGTTCAAGCAGTCACAGCGCTGTTTTGCGGATTACTCGTTGACGTAGATATTTTCCCACGGAGAACTTGACGATAGGCTTGTTGGAACTGAAAAAATTCAAATCACAAAAAATTCAATAATTTAGCATACCTCGCTGTTAATGGACAAGAAGACGATTGAATTAAAACTACAATGGAAGGACAAGGTGATCGGAACCAACGCCAACAAGGGTGAGTTTGGCGGGAAGATACGTGGGAGTATGCGGAATGACACCCAGACCGCTGAAAATACAGTAATCATGCATGCTCGTGGTCCGAATGTCTGCCATAAAAACCAAATATGTAATATCAGTCTGTCGGGAAAATAATGAGCAGTCTGCCGCATCGTAAATCGCATCGCCGCCGAGAAAATGAATTGTGTTGCGACAAAATCAAATTTTTTTTATTTCAGCGGCGCAACAACATTTCGGTCATTATTTTTCCGACAGATTGACACTCTAATATTCTGCCTTCACTCACAAGTAAACAGCATGGCCATTATAAAGAATTGCCGGGCCAACAAGAACTCCTGCTGTCGGCGTTCGGCCAGCTTGTTCCTTGGCACATTGTTGATACGGTTGCTTCGGCGAACATGCAAAAAAATCTAAACACCGTAGTACATGTGGTTGACTATTACAAAATGCCATAAGAGGAAAAGTTTAACAGACTGTGTGTTAATGCCTTACCCAAGTGTAACACACGAAAATGGTGACCGTGGTCACAAGATTGAACGGAATATCCAAGTACGAGTCGGTGTAGTTCTCTCCTTCCAAATAAGTGAACGCGTAGTTGACGTATGAAACGACAAAACTAAAAACGGCATTTGTTAAACGCTTAAGGTTGCAAAGAGGTTTCAGGGAATGTAACAAGAAGAAAAATAAGTTCAAAGAGTCAACAGAATAAGTTCAAAGAGTCAACATTCGAAAGATACCACAGAAATCGGGGCCAAGATAGATCGAAATTGGGGTAATCAACGGCGTAGTTTTCAAAAATCATAGAGTAGTGTTAAAAAAATTTTTTTTTTGAATTCTCTGTAGAAATACCCCGATTTGTGGGGTTTTGATCGTACAAAATCGTGTTCATTTTGTCTGATTGCCGCTTTCTTTTCTTAAAAAATACTGCTAAACAGTATGGTAATCAAAAGTTGTCAGTCTGTCGGGAAAATAATAAGCGCTGCTTCGATCGCGTCGCTGAAGTGAAAAGAAATTGATTTTGTCACGACACAATTAATTTTGATGCGATTTTCGATGCGACACTGCAAAAGTTATATTTCGACAGAATTGTAAAAAGCCTAAAGCAGACTTACTGACAACAAGGCGACACAAAAAACCCAATGTAGGCAGTGCCGAGAGAAAAAATCCACACCAAAGAAATGATCAGCCGATAGTATTCGCGGATCCAGGAGCGTTGAAAGACGATGCTGTTGACGCGATCGATGGAAATTACGATTTGATAGAACATTGCCATATACCAGAAAACCATAAACCATATTCCGGCAGCTGTTACAACGGGGTGATCGCGGCTTGGCACCAAGTAGCTCTAAAAGATATAATATATAGTATAATATATACGTTTTCAATCCGTCGGGAAAATAGTGAGCACTCTGTCGCATTGGAAATCGCATTGCCACTGAGAAAAAATTGCGTCTTGGCAAAATTAAACCGCTTTTCACTTCCGAGATGCGATTGGCACAGCAATATTGCGCTCATTATTTTCACGACAGACTGATAATTTAAAGCCGCCGTATAATATCAAGATTTGCTTTTGATCTTCTATAGCAGTAGAATGTTTTAGGATTTTGACTACTCATTGCAAAAAACGTAGTGTATTATGAATAAACCATGTAGTACAACATTAAACATAACCCCATATTTCTCACCTGTGTAATAATACTTGGCGCGGCATAGAAGAGAATGACTGCTTGCTCCAGGATGTCGGCGAATATGTAAGCAAAAGATATGGAATAGGCAGTGGACTTCTTTGTCGAGAGAAACCCTTTGGTCTTCAGCGTGATCATGACGGATATATTGAGTGCAATCGATGAGAATGACAGAACTCCAATGAGTCCGCCAATCGCCAGGTTGGTCGCGCTGACACTGCGAAAGTAGGACATGTTCTGCAACAAAGGATTTTTTAGATCTGATGGAATTGCTGAAGAGCCTTCCTTGTAGCGAGGTAAAGAAAACCGGGGGCTACTTTAACGCTAATTTAATGTTTAACACAAAAAAAATTGTGACATTGCCAGACATGCAACGCGCCCTTTTTACAATGAAACAAGTCTGATCGTTCACTACGAACGCGGTTTTTTGTGGAAAAAGTTTTTGGACCACCAGAATGCTATTACAAATTAATTTCTGTCTACAAGAATTTCGTCGCTAGTCCCGCCCTAAAACCGATAAGTTGCATACAGTCTTCCGAGCTCAGAGCTTGGGATCAAGCACGCTGAAAATCTTGGATTCTGAGACGTCTCTACGGCTAGTCCGTTCGCAAAGTCACTGGAGTGATTTCGGCGACATTGTGCTTTGAAACAATAAACGTCCATTTTGCACCATGCAATTTCTTGCTTTTTGAACCGTGAAATAGGCTTTTTTGGCCTCTCCCAGCATTTTCCACACACTGCCAACTGTAAAAATGGTCAGCAAACTGAAAAGAACACGTAGAACCGCAAGCTGAAGCAACTTATTGTACCTTGTTAAACGATTAAGAGTATAAAGACAGAGGAACCGTATAACGTGTGCTGTCAGCCACAGTAAGCAGTAAATGGCTTTAAAGCGGCAGAGTGCGCTTTGTTCATACTCGCGCTCAAAAGTTCGAATAATTCCCGCACGGTTCGAAAGTTCGGGTTTCATAGTATTTCGCGCGCTTTATGAAAATACTCATAGACACTTTAATTCATCAAAAACCAAAACTGTTTTCCAAGTGTTAGGCAGAATTTCGGGAACAATTCTAAAAATTCGACTGTTTATCTTCAAATTTCAATGACCAAGTGCCCCCTGAGAGCATGCGAGCATTCGGCAGACTGTAACAAAATTAAACATCTCTGAGCTTTTGCGAACTCTCAACAAGCACCCTCTAAAGAGCAGTACCTTTTACCAAATGACCAAACTCGGCTAAAATACAAAAGTCGACATTATGCTAAACATTCTTTGCAAATGTGAGAGGTTGTAGCATAATAAATCTCTATATATGATATTTGAGTTTTTACACCACCATAGTTCATGGAGACTGTGGAAATTCTATTAATAACAGTCTATCGGGAAAATAGTGAGCATAACGTCGCTGCCCCTATCGCGTCTCTGAAATGAAAAGCAATTTGACTTTGTAGTGACACAATTCATTTTCTCGACGGCGATACGATTTTTGATGCGACAGAAATTATCATTACTAAGCCTCCCACGGTATGTAATGTTCTGTCTCTCTGAAAATTTTCAAATACTGCTATTTTTGCATGCAAAGAAAATACAGGGTGACCCAAAATAACGGAGACAAATTTTGGAAGGGCCCACCGCGAAACCCGGGCGTTGTAGAAACACAAGCGACAGTGGGTAATATTCTATAAGACTTTCTCTATAATTTACGAAAATTTGGCGGAGTCATCATGTCACAGGAAAAAGTTACAGCTTAACAAAAATGCCTTGCGCCATTTTTTTGGCCCTCAATTTGATTCCTTTGTGTTGTGTAGAGCATGGCTGTACTACAGCCGCAGAAATGGCAAGTTCATTTGTTTTGCTAGACTACTACGTGTCTAAGAAAGCAGTTATGTAGGTTTCTGGGCTACGGTTTTTATTTCTACGGTGGTACCAATCTCAACATTGAAGATCGCCATTTTTTCCAAATTTTTTCGATAAAAAATTCAGTTTTTTTAGAATAAAGCTAAAACCGCTAGAACGTATTCTATTCATAAATACAATAATTCTGGAAAAAGCTGTGATTGCTTGCTGGTTGCAACAGATTTTCCTTGACAAGTTTCTCGCCCAGAACTACCCCATGGCACGCGGCTTTGAGAAAGATGGGTTATCGATAACAAAATGACAAGATAGATAAAAACGGCGCATCCTGCTCTTGTACACTTATGAATACGACTCTTGAGAATCGGCCTGGGGCACTTTCGGTCTTTATGTGTCATCGGCTCGACTGGTACTCCGTCTAAGGCAAAAATAAGGCACAATTCTAGTGATTACCAAATAGCATTCCGTAGCAGTTACAAAATGTTTCTCTTTTGGTTCTATGGTGTTCCTTTAATCATGTTCTAGTAACCCATATTACATTTTGCCTTATCTAACATTTAAACTGCTTTTTACCGATACATTTTCAAAAAAGGCCGATTTTTGCACTTCAACTCCCTGGAAATACTCGGCTGTAACTTTTGAACCATCGATAGTTGAGCTTAGTACGATGGCTCGTTTTAAAGGCCATATTATGATAATTAAGCACAGCAAATCTCAAACTATTCCGAATTTTCTTTTTTGAGTAAGGCAGCTTTCTTGCAAAAAGACCCCACGGGCAGAAAGGTCCGAGTCAACCGGATATATTGATGTGGTTCAAGGCACAAGAGCGTCGTACAACAAAACTTCCGGTATATAAAACTACACTAACGTGGTACTGTAGTATAAATAAGGAATCACTCATGAATCTTCATAGGCCGCAGAAAAAACGGGAAATCTTTTGTCTCCGTTATTTTGGGTCACCCTGTATTGCCCGTTGTCCTAAATTTAGCCTAAAAACGGACGCAGTCATCTTCTGATCCCCATTCTTGGAACGGGATGATACTCCGGAAACAAAACAAATGTTCAAATACAATATTTAGCGGCCCATCTCTGAGACGCATCGGTTCAGCGTGGCCAACTTAATTAACTGCGTAAATGGATAAGTGAAAACAAGAAAATGGTCTAATTAAGTCCATTTGCAATTTTGCGTTCAGGAGGCCGTGGAAAGTGACGGGAATTTCAATATCAAAATGTTCATGCGTAGGTTACAAATTTTATTGGTTTCATTTGTAATTTGTACAAGTCTAGGAGTGGGTTTTTGGAGATTGACGATAAGGAGTTACAGCAGGGGAAAAAAGCGAAAATTTTGGACCGAAAGCACAAGTATAATACATACACCAATTAGGAAATGCCGAACGTCTCGACAACCCAGTAACAAGACAAGACGAGAGCTCAAGAGTCAAGTGATTTATTCAGTGGAAACGAGGCCTTTTATAGGAAAGCCTAACGTAGAAAAGTACAAGCAAATTTGAATAAATCCAGATTGTTTTATTGTGGGAAAATCCAGGAAGCTCAATCGCTCCGCCGAACAGCAAATATCCTCTGTTCAACCGTTGGAAATCACGACAAAGCGTTCAGGTTGGTGTGATAATAAAAAGGTAATCAAAACTCTCCGCCGAATACACTACCGACGGGTCCACATTTGCGGACAACGACTTTGCGAGCGGCTAGAAGAACCACGGTGATTCCGCAGGCACGTTTGGAACTCAGCCCACATTTGCTCACAACAGAAAATTATAACGATTGACGGGGTGGTTAGATGTCGCTAATTATGTTTCCAGGTGCATAAGTGGTTTAACGGTTACTATAAGGTTAACCACGCATTTTTCAGAGGCGCAAAAACAATTTTTTGAAACCAAGCTTCATAACTTTGAAAGAGCTAGATGGATTCAATGGATTCGTGTATATATCAGTATGAGGGAGTTGACAATACAAAATTTCTATCATTCTACGTAAATTACGGTAGAAGAATCGCAATTGTAAACAGTAAGTGTCGGCAGAGTGGTTCCCCGCAACAGTCGTGACGCTGTTTCCGCGACGGCGGAAAATTTTTTTTCGCACAAAACCGCTCATCTTTTTTTTCTATTGCTAGAATAATTTTTTTGGACATCTTGGCTAAGTGCTAAGAAATCGGCAAAAAATTTCAGAGTAATTTCTGCAAAGAGCCTGTAAATAGACAGTCACAACTGGCAAGAATTAAAAGGCTTTGTACAGTTTGTACTAATCACCCAATATCCGGTGCAGAAGCGCATGATGTCCGTAAAATCGCAGTGTTTCGCGAAGGGCCGCTCCTTTTCACCATAATTATGACCAAAATGCTTTTGTAGTCTAAACGTTTTATTCACCTGGAATGTCAAGGAATTTTTATGGCCTGATTAACCACCTTGTGTTATTCGTTCTCTGAGCTATCGCCTAAAAAAGCAACTTGAACTTGTAGCACTTCTACGAAATGGACAATCTTTCATTACGTAGTCTCTTGAACAATTAGGAAGGTGCATTCCGGTTCTTGGCTGCTCAAAATTTATGATCCTTGGCCATCAGCAATATTAGGGTTCATGTTCAGGACAAATTAGAGGCCATGGTGCTGCTGCTAGTCCGCCGGAAAGTCGCTGGAGTGATTTCTGGCGTATGCACAGTGCAAAAAAGGTCAGGGTCCGGGCGACAAGCCCACTTGCACAGTGCAAAGAAAGCTTTTGATCTTTGCACAACGAGTGTAGCTGATTTTAATCCGGCGACTTCCAGAACGATTATCAGTCTGTCGGGAAAATAATGAGCATTCCAACGCACCGAAAATCGCATCACCGCCAAAAAAAGCGAATTGTTTCGCGGCAAAATCAAATTCCGTTTCTCCTCAGCGACAAGATTGGCGTTGCGACAAAGTGCTCATTATTTTCCGGAGATACTGATTTATTGTTCGAAGAATTAATTTAGATGGAAATTTAAACATTTTTTGGGTGAATTACTTATAACAAGAACAAGGTCGTGCCGCACTTAAAAACATGCCCGCCATTTTACAAATTTTTCAATTTTTTGTGTAAACATGAAATTTCCGAAAAAGTACTTTGCTATTATACAATTGCGCAACTGAACAATGTTTTGTTTTGGCAGTTATGTAGATATATTCTATTTTCGACTTTTACGGCGCACACAATGTCTAGAACACAACTACTTGCACCGTGTCTACATTCAATGTTTTGGGTTATTTCCGCTACAAAATGTAGTGGAATTTGTGGCAGATTGTACGGGGAAAGCAAACAGACATCTAATTGTACAAGGAGAAAATTTATACATCGTTTAATTCGGTTGACAATCCAAATCTTGGCTATAAGTGGCGGAACAACAGAACGAGTCACGTGCTTTTGCGTATATTTTTTCAAATTAAATGAGTTTTTATTGTGATAGACTTATGCAGCTGTTGTGCTGTTTGGAATATTTGTTGTGGAGGAAGAAGCAGCCATGTTTCCGCGAAGGACTTGTCTATAGGCTTTGCGAAACTGAAATTCACGGGGTTTCAAAAAAAACCAATGAAAGCTTTTACCTCGTTATTGATGGAGAGAAAAACGATGGAGTTGAAGCTGCAATGGAACGACAGAGAAATTGGGATGGAAGCCAAAAGTGACGAGTTTGGTGATACCATGTACGGAAATGTTCGAAACGATATCCATAAAACTGAAGTAGCGAGTATAGTATACTTCTATGTCTCAAGATTTTGATATCAGTTTTAATCGGTATAACGGCGTACATCAAACTGAGGTAAGCTAAAATGGCCTGGATAATGGCTTGGTTCGCCAAAAAAAAGACGCGAAAAAACTGTTTGTCGGGAGAGAAATGGGGAGGTTTTGGGGCGAGAGAGTACGTTTTTGCGCTTCTTTTCTCTGTCTTCTTTGCAAAGTCAAGATGAAATGTAAAAAAACCGATAGCCAAGAGTCTATTCCGGCCACCGGCCCCTCCGTTTGATGTGCGGTAGGTCGTCGAAAAAAGTTGTAGCCGCGCACCAAATCTCCAGCTGCGGCAGCCGTCGCAAAGCGATAATTCCAACCCAACATTACTTTCTTCCGGGACACTGACTACACACTTAACCTGTCGGAAAAACAATGACATCTCTGTCGCATCCAAAATCACATTGCCGCCAAGGAAATGAAATTCGGGCAAATCAAATTGCTTTTTGCTTCAGCGTCGCGATCGGCGTTGCGACAGAGTGCTCATTATTTTCCCGACATACTGATTTTGTCTACATTCCAGGTCTGTCGCACTCACACGAAAATAGAAGAGCCATAGTAAAAAATTGCCTGGCCAGATTGAACTCCTGCTGCCGGCGCTCCGCCATTTTGTCTTCGGAAATACTGTTGATCCTATTGGTTCTCCGGATGTACAGAAAAATCTGAATTGCTCATTTATGTGTCGTAAAGTCGGTCCTACCCATGTGTAGCAAACGTAAATTGTAACAGTTGTGATAACATTGAAAGGAACGTCAAGGTATGTGTTGGAGTAATTAAAACCTTCGGTATACGCAAAGCCGTAATTAACGTATGACACATAGAACCTTAAGGCAATTATAAAATGTAATTGCATTTGTATTAGAAGTTGTGATACCTTGAAAGTCATCTTGAAACTCACCTGCAACAGGGCAAGATAAAGTAGCCGATGTAAGCGGCGCTACATGACACAACCCAAACCAACGCAATTATCAGTCGGTAGTATTCACGAATCGAGGTTTGACGAAAGACGATGCTGTTTACTCGATCGAGAGCAATGATGATTTGGTATAGCATTCCCATGTACCAAAATACAAGCCAGCCGAATCCCAAGGCCATCACTAGAGGATGGTCCCGTTCGCCGACCAAGAAACTCTGAGAATTTCATTGATTTAGTCGCAGAATCAGTTTGAATTAGGGATTTTGCTTTTGCAATTCTTTGCTGGCGTCGTAGTTTTTTTTTCTGACTTCCTTTTGCTGCTGCCAAAACTTTTTTGCGACGTCGCGGGGGCGCATGCAAAAAAGTGCATCTCGCTCCGGTAAAAAGCCCCTATACTGGTCGACAAAAACCTGTCTACAACAAGTAATATCTGAGGTCCTGGCGTTCAATTTCAGGCCAAAATAACCCACTGTACAGCGACGCCCTTCTATAAGAAATAACTTTTTTTGGTTCTTTGTAATTCGTTGCGCAAAGGTTTGAGAGTTAGCGCGCTTAAGCTTACTTGTGTGACGATGCTTGGCGCTACATAAAAACACATGATGGATTGCTCCAGAATGTCGGCAAAAATATACGCAAATGACAATGAATACACCGTGGACTTTCGGGACGTTAAAAAACCTTTTGATTTCAATGTCAACATAACGGAGATATTGAGGGCAATCGACGCAAATGAAGCTGCTCCCACCAGGATTCCAATTACTGGATAGTTTGCAGCCGGGGGCGTCTGAAGTCAGGTCTTTACAGAGTCAAAATTTGTTGCCTTACCAAAGTTGAGGCCGTGTTATTGTCAAGTTCCGACATATCGGACAGCAGAAGCGGGGTGTGTTTTGCAGCTATAGCAAGATATAATAGTATGTTTACACAGTAGCTGTTGCCTGTAACATCAACGAATTAGATTATAAAATTGGGTCACACGCAAGTAGCTAGTGCTCTGAAATACAGTTGTAGCCCGTCAAAAAATTATTGCAGGTTGCAAATTTCACGTTCTCTGCAATTGATAAATGCCATTTATTAGTAAAAACTGTAGTTCTGATCGTGAGAATATTTCGCGGCTATAATTAGTGCCACCAAAGCTGGGATTCTCATCCCTTCTCCGGCCTGATCCAGCGCATTTTCCGAACCGTTTTGGCGTTTCGTGCACATACTATCGAGTGATCAAAAGATTTTAGATATCAAAATTTGTTTAGAAGAGCTTTTGGAGACAACGTTGGTCTTCGTTCAGAAGGAAGGTTGAATGATCGCTCTCCGAAAGTCCCATGGATTTGGAATCATGGGAATTTCGAATTTTCATATCTCTCGGACCAGCCTTCCTTCTGAATGAAAGTTACCCCAAATGAGCAAAAATTCAATTTTCATGCCGATTTTGAACAAATGTACTAGAAGATTGGGATGTCAATTTAATAGGGACAGACAGGGTAATTGTTTTGACAATTGGTCAAAACAAAAATTCAAATGTAGCTTTCGTGTGACGCTAACTGTACGATGATGATTAAAGACAATCGACCATAAATTAGGAACGTCATCATTTGTGGAAGTGGACAATTGAGGAAACTGAAAAGTATTATTTTTCTTCGATGCACGTGTCGAACTTGTGATAATCGATCGCGTTAATTTCAAAAAGGACATTCATTTTTTTGATCGTTTGTATTTGGCAGCATGACATTAGTACATTAGTAGGAGCTAGAGCAGCACATGATCAACAAACACAAGTCCAACCAACTTTGAAGCCCGTTGATCCTCTTGGAGCCAGTTGAACCTCAAGAACAAACCGCACGGATACCCGCAAATGGTCCCACCACGGAGACACCTATTGGCTTTCTGCACCAACTACGTATAGGGAGAAGTTCATAACTTAAGCATGTTTTGCGCGTCTTTTCTCTGTCTTCTCTGTGAAATCAAGACGAAGTGTGAAAAATCGCTGGCGAAGAGACTATTCCGGTCACCGTTGTTTTCAGCTTGACGTCCGTTGCTCCCTGGTTAAACTTGGCCAAAAATATATTTCAATCGCTGGAAAACAAAAGCCAATCTGAGTAATTCAGCGGATTTTAGACATTCTAATAGTCTTCTTTTAAGGAAAAGACAATTTTAACGCTGAAACATGAAAAAATTCCTTTTATTTCTCCCATTTAGTGGGAGTTCATGGGGTTCATCTTAGCCAACTCTTAACTGATAAATTTGGGAATATCTTCTATTATACTTGAACCAGTATTTATGTCTGCCAAAGGAGTTACAATGCTTTCATTTTATTTGGTGATTATTTATCGCAACTGCCTTGTATAGTCAGGATTCCTGTTCAAAAAAGATGAGACTTTCTATATATCCAGCATTTATTCCAAACGACCATAACTTAGAGATTTACGGGCAAATTACGCCGTAGCCGAAGGACCACCCGGTTTCTCGGCCTCAAGGCTTTGGATTTTCTCCTTGAGCTCTTTTACGGTCTGTCGAAGTTCCTCAATCGCGTTGGCCTGAAAGATCAGAATAAAAAACAAAAAAAAAAATAATAAAAAAGAGTGTATTAGCTATGCAGTATACATATACTATAGTATATATTTACATTATTTGCCCAAAAATTTACCTGCATGACAATGTGATTCCGTGCCAAGAGCAACGTGGCTATTTTGGACAATTTCCGCACCGACGTTCCGTGAGCATAAGGAATGGATTGGCGAAGGTCGTCGAGTGCTTCGTTGAGATCGTGCATTCTACAGCGTTCGCGGAAGTTGATTGTCATACGGACGCTTGGGTCGTTCATTATGTTCCTTTCAACCTAGAATCGGAAAAATTCAAATTTTTCTTGTGCCTTCTTTTGAAGAAAAACTCATTATAGCTGGAATACGGTAAATTTTCAGTCTGTCGGGAAAATAATGAACACTCTGTCGTATTGAAAATCGCATTGCCGACGAGAGAATGAATTTTGCCGCGGCAAAATCAAATTTTTTCACTTCAGCGACGCGATTGGCGCAGCGAAATTGTGCTCATTATTTTCCCGACAGACTGATTAGCAAGGATTTACAGCTAACAATGTTAAAAAAGACTATAAGTTCGAGCAAATCATCAGAAATTTGTTGAAACACCACTCGGAACGTCCTGTAAATTGCATCTCCACGTTTTCCCGCACCTGCGCCTCACCAAAACGGCAAATCCCTTCTCCTCCATATTAATGAGAGATAAGCGCGCGCACTAATATACATAATAATTCCAACCGCGGGCTATATTTATATCCTCCCCGACACAAGTTTTATATCTGGCCGGAATTCATCCCACTGTCAAAACAATATATTCAGATGAATGTCGGCGCCCCCAAAGTCATCGGGTCAAATGAAAAGAATGCAGGACTTTGCGGCTCTATTCCCATCGGAAGCGCGAGTTGTTCGTGGGGTAAAAATTGAAGTAACCGAAAGCTTATAAAGAATTTGGCTCTGTCAAATAATCAACAATGATATTTGGGGTTGAAACAACACAAATATATCTTGAAAATCGACATTATCGGTCTGTCGGGAAAATAATGTGGATATCGGTGTGTCGGGAAAATAATGTGGATATCGGTCTGTCGGAAAAATAATGAAGATATCAGTTTGTCGGGAAAATAATGAGGATATCAGTTTGTCGGAAAAATAATGTGGATATCGGTCTGTCGGGAAAATAATGTGGATATCTGTCTTTCGGGAAAATAATGTGGATATCGGTTTGTCGGGAAAATAATGTGGATATCGGTCTGTCGGGAAAATAATGTGTATATCAGTTTCTCTGAAAAATAATGTGGTCGTTTTGTTTTGCGACTGCGACGAGGAGAGAAATTTTTCTGCGACAAATCCACATTATTTTCACGACTGACTGATAGATAACGCCGCAATTATTTTTTCAAATCACATACCAATTGATTTTTCAATATCATTTTCAATGTCAAGCTTAAACCAAACCTAAATTGCATTTTCAGGCTAGAAACTTCCAGTTGTCCTTAAGATGACCTTTTGTTTGCATTGTTGCGCAAGTTGGATATCGAAGAACCTCTTTACCTCCTTCCTACCTTGTTCGGGTTTCGTTTTTTGTTTTGTTTCGGGAAGGAACCGAGCAGGATTTCTGGATTTCATGGTTTCAAGCGCAAGTCAAGAAGAATGTAAGTGTTTTTGTGGGGGCTTGCTCATAGCTTTTCGGAATTCTGGATGAATTTAGTCAAATTTGAGATAAAAATTGCCAATTTTTAGAGGAGAAACTCTTTTTTCTTCAAAGGGGTTAATATTTTATATCACTTTTTTTCAGAATCAGCTCTCCACATGTTTCACTGGCATGCGGAATGGTGTTTTTAATCGCGCCTGGATATCTGTAGCACTTGTGTTCAGTCTATTTCATATCTGCGCGTCGCAAAACAACCCTGCCCCACTGACTTGCGAGCCAGGAATTGACCTTCTAGGGATGACGTTTTGTCCCGAAACAACTCGTCTTGACAAGGCGACTTCGTTGTGTTGCAAAAGTCGAGAGGAAATTTATTGCGCCCCACCATTGGAGCTTGCCAACGACGGGATTGCCTGCCCCGATACTCATCCCTATAACGAGAGAAAAGGACTCTGTTGTGGCCCAGGACTAATGCTGCTAAAGCAGGAGGCAAAGAAGAAGCCAAACAGTGAGCTGAGATCGACAAGTCGGCCGGTTCATCCGACAACGACGCCAAGATTTGTCCCGGAGACAAACAAGGAGAATTCAAGGGTCATCTTCAGTACTGAGGAGACTCTAACTCGCCACGAAATCGAGCAACTGAATCGACAAGGGCTGGACAAACTGAAACGAGTGTATGCGACAACGACAACCGTTGTACCACCGTTGCGTAGGCGGAAAAGTAAGAAGCACCCGCGACGGAAAAAGAAGCATCGAAAGGTCATCGAGAGCGAGGACTTTGACTGCGATGACTTTGCATTGCCGGGTAAGAAACGCAATTTTTGAAAACAGTCCGTTCGCAGACTCTAGAGACTTCGCGAACGGACTAGTAACGTTTAGTCTCTGCTTCATATTTGATTCAGGATAACACTAAATTTCCAGGCCGGCAGTCCGACTGCCCGTATCGTCGTCATCTCTGCCACAACAAATCGTTCCACTCTATTATGCGAAATCAATGTCCAAAAACTTGTGGCTATTGTAATCGTCTGCCTGCGGTTGAGGAAGAAAACGTGATCTACACAAGAATAACGCCGCAAGACTTCAGCGAGGAAATCGATTGCGTTGACAAAGAGGATGAAAATGGGGTCTCGGAATGCCCCAAGAACAAGTTGAAGTGCTTAGCCGGACCGTTTGTCCATTTTATGCAAAAAGAGTGCCCAGTTACGTGCGGATACTGCAAGCGGTATCTGAAGCGACGGGTGCTGCCACATAGGGAAATTGATAGCCAAGATTATGAATATTTTTGAATAAATTTATAATAAAAAAAATAATAAATACCATTTGATACCTTTGAAAATCACTTTACCAAGCTAAATGTATTACTATGTTGATAAGTTCAGCAGTAAGAGAATGATTCGTTCTAATGTCAGGTAATTTTATTGTATTTCTTTTAGATTTTCACACCGGTTTATACCCTCCGGGATTCATGGAAGACGCCGTCTCTTGCTTTCAGGCAATCTCCACGGCCTCGGTTTGGGAGACTTTGCCGCTGGTAGAAACAACTGTTGTAGAGCTAACACGGCTGGTAAATGCTTGCTTGACCATTCGACGAAAAGATGGGACACAAAGAATGACGCAAAGCGAGTTGATCAGTGGGGTGGTGTGGATTAGAGCGAGAAATTCTCCGCTTAAGGTGCTGTTCAACCTGAAAATCGCAGCGACTGGCAAGTATGTGCCGGGGATGAAGAGAACGAGGATCGGAAACAGCGCCTGAAGAAACCATTGAATTTATGAAATTTTCGGTTGAAGCTATGACGATGGAAATGACTGACCTGAATGAAAATGACGCGCTCCATCTGTCGTTGAACTTTTTTGGTTTGACTAGACATTTGTGACTCCATTTTAATAAATTCTTTCTTTGTCTTCAAGAACACTACGGTGACGAGTGTGTAGCTTATGGCAGTGATGATCAAGCAGTTAGCCATATGCAAAGTCATAGCAAAGGACGATGTGATGTCGCCCACATAGTAAGGCGGTAGGTAACCCAGTGAGGTAACAACGGGGTCCAATTTTAGGACAACATCATATTCGGGGGTTGGAGGACTAAACGTCAACGAGCAGAGAGCTCCGTGGGCAAGTGGATACAACATTGCGACAAGTAGAATCATAATTAGTTGGAATGTCGTTAAGGGCCTGTTTCGTATCACACTGTAGCGATAAATGTATTGAACCGGCAATATGGTCACAGAGAGGTAGGTCAGGAAGCCCTGAAGGCTTGTGACAATGACAGCTGCCCATTGTTGATCCTTCAAGAGGGGGTTCCCAGCCACCACTATGAACAACCTGTCGTAGATAAAAAAGAACTGCAAATTTGTGATCAACGGGCAAGGTGAGCTTACCGGCAATCCGATTAAGTTAACAACACTGTACATTAAGTCAACGCTTGCATTTACAATCAACATGAGCGCATAAACTTTGACGGCCTTGTTGTTGGTGCGAAATATGGCCAAGTACAGCACTGTAAGGCTACAAATAATCGCCGCACCGGACAATGTTGCATCAGCTAATAAATGGAGAGTGTGGTAGATTGCGGTCTCGGGCCGTGGCGTGAACCGCGCACCTTGGTAACTCTCCATTTATTTGAACCTAAAATGAAGGCTTATCAAAGCGAGTCAGTTTTATAACGGTTGCGTTAAACGGCGCGCACCCTGTAGATGTCTAACCCAATTGGAGGTCTTTATGATCGAAGCTGTTGGTGAACCCCCAAATTTAAGGTTACTATATGAATTGCCGGAGACAGAAAGGCAAAAAACCAGGAGAGTAACTAGACGGTACCCTCTCCCCCAGTCCAAGGAAAGAACTTGTAACAAGGAACCTGGGCCATTTTCCACAAGTATTAATCAAACACCTTACCCACATCATAACAGATCCCTTCAATAAACTCACCAAGAAAGGTGCCGCCGAACTGCCCGGAGACACTCCATTTGTACCCAATATTCCATGTTTATATACGTCTGGATTCCGCAGACCGAAAGGATTGTGCACTTTGTTCTCTGAGTTGACCTTTCCGGATATCATGGCGCGATCAGTTTGGCACTTGACATGTTTTGTCCTTCCGTGTTAAACAAACCGGTGAGGCCCGTAGTCTGGACCGTCTATTCCCATATTTCAAAAACGGTCTTCCTCCCGCGCTCGCGTGCTCAGATATAATGTTAATACATAGTTCGTGAAAGTGCCAAGGTTTGTAGACACTTACACGGGACGTGCTACAAGTGCGACGCCATAAATTTTCATGAAGCTGGGCACGAATTTAAGATTAATTTTGTATGATGCGAGACACCTAGCTCGCGTTTTGCAGATAAGAACAGAATTTGGGATCAAAAGTCGGGAAAGAAGCGAGACTTTTTTGCGGACGTTGACATAAGTTTCGTACCCTATTTCTATCTTAATGTTTTCACAAAGAAGTTTCCTTTCGTTACTCTCTCGAGAACAAAGATTGTTCAATATCTCGGCTGCGCCTGCAAAGCGCGAGATAAAATTTTCGGGCATTGATATATGGACCCTGTCTGATGTTTGTGCAATGTTGAAACCCTGAACGTCCCACTTCAAACCCTTCTCTTGTTATGTCACAGTTGCCGACAGAAGTATTGTTTCTTGAAAGAATCAAAATTCTTCGCGATGCGTTCAGCTTAGTTTTCTTTCAGTCGATTCTCTACGCGCCCGACCACGCCCGTTTCAAACGAGATGCCACAAAAGAATCTTTCGTGAGATGGTAGGTTCAGCAGGTCCGATTCTCTTGCTAAACAATGGCAACAAGGCCTTCTGCATAAGAGATTTTCTTGAGTTGTCGCAAGACTCCAAAAAGACGTGCCACTAATTATTGGATAATCGGAGGCGTCCAATTTTGGTTACTTTTCCGAAACATCTTGTCCTAATCCTACACAATGCTTCAAAAATGAGGGTGTTGCTTACGCGCTTCCTCCAAACACTTACATAATATAATAATACGTGAAGAGACACTGAAAGCTTCCACCGTGGCATTTGACCTCTTGACCTGCTAAGCGTGTCTTCCGGAATAAACTTGATTTTTGTCCAAGGCCCGACAACCCAGTAACGAGACGAGACGCTCAAGAGTCAAGTGATTTATTCAGTGGAAAGGAGGTCTTTTATAGGGAAGCCTCACGTGGGAAAGTACAATCAAATTTGAATAAATGTAGATCGTCCCTCGTGGGAAAATCCTCGAAACTCGGTCGTTCCGCCTCACAATTTTGCCACCAGGGCCAAGAATATGGTGACTTTATCTTTCCGATTTTATGCCTAAGCTTGTTCTCTCCGCTGTGAGAGATTTATATCAGGTACATTTCTGTTAAAAAATTTATTTTTGAAAAAAATTTTTTTAATCCTTCACCTAGTTGTAGATGTTTTGAAATTCAGCCAAGAGCACCGTGGTCAGTTGTCAGAATTTCTCCAAGTCTCGGAGTGTATTGAGGTCGGTTTGCCGTCCGTCGACAAAAGCGACGAGGGGCCTGTGCGTCGGGCAAATGCACGTGTGACCAATCGACGATAAGATGGGACACAGAGCATGACGCATATTGAATTGAACAGTGGAGTGGTGTGGATCAAAGCCAAAAATTCTCCGCTCAAGGTGCTGTTAAACTGGAAAAACGCCGCGACTGGCAGGTATGTGCCGGGGATGAAGAGGACAAGGATCGGAAATAACGCCTGAAAAATATGGTCGAATTTATGCAATTTTCGTTTGAAAATGTGACGTTGGAAAGGACTGACCTGAATGAAAATGACGCGCTCCATCTGTCGTTGAACTTTTTTGGTTTGATGAGACATTTTCGACTCCATTTTGATGAATTCTTTTTTTGTCTTCAAGAACACTACGGTGATGACTGCATAGCTTATGACAGTGATGATCATGCAGTTAGCCATATGAAAAGTCATAAGAAAGGAAGATTTAATGTCCCCCACATAGTAAGGTGGCAGGTAACCCAGTGATGCAACCACAGGATCCAATTCCAAAATCGCATCATATTCGGGGGTTGGAGGATTAAAGGTCAAATAGCAGAGAACTCCGTGGACGAATGGATACAGCATTGCGATAAGTAGAATTATAATTAGTTGGTATGTCGTTAAGGGCCTGTTTCGTACCACACTATAGCGATAAATATATTGAATGGGCAAGATGACCACAGAGAGGTAGGTCAGGAAGCCCTGAAGGCTTGAAACAACGAGGGCTGCATACTGTTTATCTCTTAAGAAGGGGTTCCCAGTCGCCACTATGAACAAACCGTTGTAAATGAAAAAGATCTGCAAATTTTACTGTGAGAAAGGGAAGAGGCAACTTACCGGCATTGCGACGAGGTTAACAACACTGTACGTTAGGTCGACGGTTGCATTCATAATTAACATTAGCGCGTAAACTTTGACGGCTTTGTTGTTGGTGCGGAATATGGCCATGTACATTACCACTAGACTGCATATGACCGCGCCGCCAGAAAACGTCAGCTCAGCGAATAAATGCAGAGTGTGGTAGACTGCGGTCTCAGGCCGTGGAGTGAACCGCGCAGTCTGGTATCTTGTATAATTCCCCATCTATTTGACTTTTCTGAAAGCAATAAGTGTAAACATAGTGATAACGTTATCATTATCATAACCGATAATGATAACGGTTATGTTAATCGCACATTCTAGGTTACGCACGTAACGTTATTGTGAGAGGTTTCCGCAAGTGAAACTGAACCCAATTGAAATCTGGCTGAGCACCTTCAATTGAACACCACTTATACTGATGCTATGTGCTATTACAATACTATATATTGACGAGTAAAAAAAAACTAAAAACAAGAAGGTTAAAATGACAACAGAAAAGTATTTACTTCGTAATTATGTAAAATTGCATAAAGACAGCCGATATAAGCGGCCGAAAACCGGCAATGAGTCAAAGTAGAGACCAAATTTCCCTAGTGCTCGAAGTGCAACCTGTAGCTCACCTGCAGCCGCCCATCTTGTGCCAAGGCACGCCGCCTCCCTCGCAAGCCTGCACCCTGGAAGCTCCTGACGTCGGAGTCAGGCCATACGTACCCTGGAATTTTAACGAATAGGAGAACTCAAAGACAAAAGCCCTGAAGTTAGAAGCGAAGCCCTAACGCCTGGGATCGGTGGATTCGACGAGGCAAATCATCGATTTCGGGGTAGCGATGACTAAACAATCATCTTTTTTTATGTAAGTAAGGTCGTTTTTATCGCGTAGACCTAATACACAGTCTAATATAAACCTCGGCTTTGTTTTTTGGTGATAGAAGAGACTTCAACATTTTCATAACCCCGCACTTTCTTCATCAAAAGCCTGTAGCAAAACTTCTGCTCGTAGCACGCCAATACCCCTAAAATAACCCGCCTAGAAGAACCGCCGAACATAGCCAACTATACTGCATTTGTAGCCAGCATTCCCCGTTTATATATACGTAGATTACAGTACCCTATAAATATACCGGATACGAAAGCCTTTCAAATGAAGAGGACACGCTCCCTCCCACAATCCGAAGGAATCATTTATGTCGTAGATTAGGTCCTCATTTTTATCTCATTTGACGGCCAATAAAAGGGCGATGCGAAGGGCCAATAAGCAGCGTAACCTAAACCTCGGCTTAGTTTATAGTAATAGTTGTTGAGTCCCGAAGCGACCTGCTTGGTCGGTGAAGTGAAGAATCATTGGTTCATAAAAAAAGGAATGTTTAATTAGTTTTATTGAGACCAGAACTACTACTCGGTTGTTCTCATATTTATTCTCTCTAAATAAAGTTTATACATATATTGTTCTGCTGGTGATTTGTTCTCACTCCTCCTCACAGATGCAACCATGGCGTCAATTCACGTCGAACCTCAAGTTTATGACTTGATTTACCCCGTTGTCGGTGCCCAAAAATTCGCCCACAGTATTGAGAGACAACTGGTGCTGTTGGAATAACTTGGTTCTGGACAACCCCAGCAGATGGCCGTGAAAGGAATCCTCACCTCCCAGTTGACATATGACGGACTAACTGTCATGAATAAGATCTTGGTCCTCTCCGAGAAAGGCACCACTTTATTGTGTGGGAAGGCACTGAAGGATTTTGGAATTATGGTACCTGACCAAGAGAAGGCAAGCGTTGGTTTGCAACTATAAGGATCGTTTCATCGAAGGTCTGGACAAATGCACAAAGCTGGATGTACATTTAAGCGTGAAGGAAAATTCGATCCTAGTGCATCGAACCGCTCTTCCCCTTTTTCTTGCCGTTAAAGATCAAGTGAATGCCGAAATGGATTGTCGTCCGGAGAATGGAACCCTCGTAAATGTTGATACCGTCGAATGGACCGCTCCGATTGCTGTTGTTTTACGCGAATTTCTTGATTCGCGTAAGACTCCAAGAAAACACCCTTAATTATAGGATAATCGGAGACGTCCAATTTTGGTTACTTTTCGGAAACATCTTGTCCTAATCCTACACAATGCTTCAAAAACAAGGGTGCTTGCATTCACGCTTCCTCCAGGCAGTTTCAAATACATGGAGAGACAAGCTTCTACCTTGACGTCTGACTTTCAACTGGCTCCAACTGAAGACATTTAACTACATTTTCATGGCTTTGCCACTAGGAGCCACGAATATGATGATCTTCCCCTTCCAATTTTCAGCTTAAACGTACTCCCTGTGTTGCAAGATATTAATATAAGGCACAGATGGGATAAGACATTTATTTTGATAAAGATCTTTTTTAATCCTTCACCTAGTTGTAGAATGTTTTGAAATTCAGCCAAGAGTACCATCGCCTGTTGTCAGAATATCTCCATAATCTCGGAATGTGTTGAGGTTGGTTTGCCGTCCGTCGACAAGTGCGACGTAGGGCCTGTGCGCCGGGCAAACACACCCGTGACCAATCGGCGATAAGATGGGACACAGAAAATGACGGAAATTGAATTGAACAGTGGAGTGGTGTGGATCAGGGCCAGAAATTCGCCGCTGGCTGAGCTCGTTAACTTGAAAAGTGAAGCGATTGGCAAGAAAGTGCCTGGGATGAACAGAACGACAATTGGGAACAGCGCCTGAAGAGATCATCGAATTTATGCAATTTGCGGTTGAAACTATATATGACGATAGAAAAGACTGACCTGAATGAAAATGACGCGCTCCATCTGTCGTTGAACTTTTTTTGTTTGGTCAGACATTTGTGACTCCATTTTAATGAATTCTTTCTTTGTCTTCAAGTATACAACGGTGATGACTACATAGCTTATGACAGTGATGATCATGCAATTAGCCATATGCAGAGTCATAAGAAAGGAGGCTTTGATGTCCCCCACATAGTAAGGTGGTAGATAACCTAATGAGGCAACCACAGGGTCCAATTCAAAAACGGCGTCATATTCGGGAGCTGGAGGACCAAACGTAAAAAAGCAGATAACCCCGTGAAAAAATGGATACAACATCGCGATAAAAAGAATTACAATTAGCTGGGATTTCGTCAGCGGTTTGTTCCGAATGACACTGTAGCGATATATATATTGAATTGGCAAGATGACCACAGAGAGATAGGTCAGGAAGCCCTGAAGGCTGGAAACAATGAGAGCTGCCCATTGTTGATCTTTTAGGAAGGGGTTCCCAGCCGCCAGAATGAACAAACCGTTGTAAATGAAAAAGATCTGCAAACTTTAATGCGAGAAAAAACAAGAGTCGGCTTACCGGCATTGCGACGATATTAACCACACTGTACGTTAGGTCGACCGTTGCATTCATAATTAACATAAGAGCGTACACCTTGACGGCTTTGTTGTTGGTGCGGAATATGGCCAAGTACATCACCACGAGACTGCATATGATTGCACCGCCAGAAAACGTCAGCTCAGCGAATAAATGCAGAGTGTGGTAGACTGCGGTCTCAGGCCGTGGAGTGAACCGCGCAGTCTGGTATCTTGTATAATTCCCCATGGAAGGTTGCCGTCTGAAACCGAGATGAAATCTAGCTGAGGATCTTAATATGAAGCTGTGAATTTATACTGAGGTTTTGATGTTTCCCTATCAAGGAGCGAAGGGAAAAATCAAAAAGGAAAAAAGTCAAAGTAACCACATGGGGGTACTTTAGAATTACGCGAAATTTGCATAAAAACAGCCTTAAACAGCCGTTATGTAAATTAGGTCCTTATTTTTATCTCGTAGACCTGAAGATAAAATAGTGATCAAACCGACCAATAAACAGAATAACCTAAACCTCATCTTATTTTATGTTGAAATTTGCACATTTTTACATAAGCAGCCTGCAGTAAAGCAACTGGTCGTAGCACGTCAACACCCTTAAAACAACCCGCTTCGAGAAATACCGCTAAATTGCTCACGCTGAGCTATACTGCACTTGTAGCCAACATTCCCCGTTTTTATATGCGTGGATTACGGTAGCCTACAAATGTTTCGGGTCTAAAAGCCTTTCAAATGAAGGAGACATGCTCCCTCCTACAATCCGAAGAGTGGTCATAAGGAGTTTACGAAATTTAGTTGTGCACTTTCGCTCTCAACATTCATGATCCCTGTAAATGATTACTAATCCCCATGAAACGATCAGCTCGCACAACAGCCCAAAAAAGAAGAAAAATTTTACCCGCCCTCTTCGGAGAATCTGAAAAAGGAGTAAAATTATTCCAAGAAAATTATTTTTCCCATCGAAGAAACAGACGAAACGTACTTGCGTGACGCTTTGTCTGAACTTCGATCAGTACGAAATGGGCGGACTATCTAGACTCCTTGGCTACCGTGGGTTAGTTGTTTTTTATTGTAATGTTGATTACTTTTTATTGTAATTTAGTATTTGAACAATGAGATTTTTTCGGAAACAGACAATATTTGTGTTTTTAGACTGTCGGGAAAGTACTGAGCACTCTCTCGCATCGAAAATCGCTTCGCCGCCGAGAAAATGAATTGTCTCGTGGCAAAAACAAACTGTTGTTCACCTCAGCAAAGCGATCGGCGGAGCGAGATTGTGCTCATTATTTTCCCGACAGACTGAATTAAAAATGAATTTAGCTGATATAAGGAAGGCCTTCCGGCTAGAGCCTCCCGGAGCAGCAGGCAGAAGATTCAAACAATTCGGTTTATGTTTTCGCGACTTTTGATTTGGCCGGACGCGACATGGCAAGCCGGGCGGCCCGATGCGTTTTCACAACAATTCAGGTCTGGCCCGGTTGCGACCTCTAGACCAGACGCGATGATATTTTCTATTTTACCGTAGTATAGGGAGTAGCGGTAAATAATGCCCGCTGTAGTTCCATACAAGATTTAGCGTGCTTACTTAGTACTTTGAACTTATATACAAATGCAGGAGTTTGGTGTATTGTAAAGTTTATTAAATACAAAATATGTATGTTTCACTTGAAAAATAGACACTTGAATTGATGTTTCTTGTAATACTTTGTTCTGAATTATCTTTGGGCTGGTGTTTGCGAACAGAATATGCCAATATACGGCACATGGCGGCGTGTGGATCAACGGCAGAATTACATACCCCAATGACGACAAATCCGACGGTTCCAGGGTTTATAGACGAGAGAATCGTGGTGGTATTCTTCGAACATCGGTTGAATACATCCTTGATGTTGTCCGCACATGTCTGAGCTACGGACATCGAGTTTTTCCAGCGAGAAATCGTGAGTAAATAAGAAACAACCGCTTCCAAAGACGAGACGGAAGAAGAAGAAGTAGCTGAATAGACGGTTTTTATTTTTAACGAGGATTGGCTGGCCAATGGTTGTGGGTGCTTCTCACTACCTCACGCTTTGCAGAAAAATCCGTGACCTTTTCGTCGAAGTTAAAAAAAATGTACACCATATTGCGAATTTTGGCATATGGACGGGATGGAAAGCTCTCAGCGAACCATCTACCCGACGACCTGACTCCAGCCGAGAATTCATCCCTCTTGGACGAAAGTTCCACATGTAAGTGAGGGCAAGTGCCAAGGAGGAAACCAATCGATCTCCGGCGCACAACGACTACTAAGAATCATCTCTGTTTTTTATGTAAATTATGTACTGACTTTTATCACGTTGTACTGCATATACATAAAAGGGCGTCCCAGACGTCAAATAAACAGTCAATAGGAAACTTCGGCTTGTTGTTGGGTGATTGTTTTTCTTGGACATTCAAGGTCCATCGTTGGACACAACAACAGGTCCTTTTCATTTTATGTTTATACCAGTGAAGCAATTTTCAATTAGAAATTTCCTCTATATCAAATTAAGGGATAATCGGACGTGCCCAATTTAATTCGACTTTCACCTAAATATCTTGAGATAAAACGTAAAGCAAAAAGCCATATACATAAATACTGTACATTGGTATGATGTGTTGACAGCATTGTATCGCCATGTAATTAATAATATAGAAACAGGTATAAATTCCCGGGAAACATAGGCGTTCATTTCAAGCGAACTCCAGTGCTTCTGAGTCGGTGTGCGTTGTGTGGGGGTTGTTTGAGGAATCGCGGACAGTGTTTGTGTTTCTGTAGAAGAAGCCAAAGAATATTCGTCGATAGCTGGGCACGCACAGCACAACCGAGAATGAGTTGAACAGCGGGGTTGTATGCATTATTGCGACAAATTCTCCCGTAAACGTGTAGTTGATATTTAGGAGGGATGCGATTGGGAGAGCCGTGCTAGGGATGAAGTTGACAAAGACGGGGAAGACGGCCTGAAAATAGAAAAGGTAATTTAGCAAGAACAGTTATGATTTTACAGCCGAATCGTGTAGACTTCCTGCTGTCTTTCACCCGATTTTTGTTCTTGGATGGACAAAAACAAGAGCCCATTCTACGTACCTGTATAAAAATAACCCTCTCCATTTGCTTTTGGACCTTCTTCGTCTGATCGGACATTTTATCCTCCATCCGCACAAACTCCACTTTGGTCCTGGCGTACACCACCACAATCACGAGGTAACTCAAGACCGTGATCACTATGCAATTGGCCATGTGCACCGCCATGAGCTTCGAGTTGACGCAGTCGCCAACTCGATATGGCGGTATGTAATCGAGCGACGAAATGACGGGATCCAGCTCGAAAACCGAGTCGTACAGTTCGGTTGGCTCTTTGAAAGTGAAGAAACAGAGGACGCCATGCCCGAACGGGTACAAGCATCCGATGAGAAAAATGCTGGCCAGTTTCGTGCTGTTATAAGGCTTGTTTTGGATGACACTGAGGCGGTACAAGAATTGAATGGGCAAGATGGCAACTGATACGTAGATAAGGAAGCCTTGTAGACTGGTGACAATGTTGGCCGACCAAGAGTATTCTTTCAGGAGTGGATTGCCAGCGGAAAGAATGAAGAATCCGTCCCATATGAAGAAGATCTGAAAATCACATTGAAATTTTAATTCGCCTTATGGTAAGTGAGCCAAAATATCAGTCTTTCCGGAAAATGATGTGGATCTGCCATAAAGAAATGTCTCATCATAGTCGCGCATCAGTTCAGCTAGCCGTTGCAAAGCGATAATGGGAAATTTTGCGAAATTTTTGGACAAATCCACATTATTTTTCTGATATTCTTTTTATTATAGTTCGGCCCGGAGACGCCAATGCGACCGGTTAAAAACAGACGCCACTTACCGGCATTGCGACCAAATTGCACAAACTGTAACTCAAATCGACTGCGGCGTTCATTATTAACATGTGGGAGTACACTTTGACAGCCTTGCTCTTTGTCCTAAATACAGCAAGGTAGATAATGAACAAGCTGCACAAAACGGCTGCAAACGAAAAGGAAATCTCCATGACAAGATGAAGTGTATGGAAGATCATGGTGTCATTGCGTTTTAGTGATGAGGCGTTTCGGACGGTTTGTGAAGCGCCCGCTATCGTTGTTGTCTCCATTGCTCTGTAAAAAGTCGCTGTGGATTACAGTGATATAACGTGCGGAAACTTCCAGGAAGCAAGTTTGTGAAATCGCGAGTAACCAGCATTTGGAGCAATCCGCACCACATGCGAAAAAATGAATTGTGGCAAAACCGAAAGGTTTTTCACTTCAACGACGCGTTCGACACAGCGATGTTGTGCTCATTTTATTTTCCCGACTGAATGATATTACAAAAAACTTTGCGGAATTACTCAACTCTACAGTAAACATATCAACACGCAACTGAGCCATAGTCCACATTTCTCCGAACTGGGCGGATTCGTATCAAACGTACTGAAACAAGAGCCGAAGCGAAATGTTTAAAATTTCCCTCAACGTTTTCAGCTTTATATGTGTCATCGTACCGTAATCTTCAAAAGGCCTTCTTGAGGATGTTCGAAGCGGCTCAATAATCCGTAAATCTTGTAATTGCTTCGTAAGATGCCCGCCAGAACCAGCGTCAGAGACGGTCCCTTGCCGGAAACTACTGAAATGATGATACGTTGACGGTAGAATGGGCAATTTAGTACGTCTTGGAGATTATGAATGTCTGCATTGCAAAGGGCAAAATCCATATACTGCTTGTCTGTCGGGAAAATAGCGAGCGCACTGTCGCTGCCGATCGTGTCAATGAAGTTAAAAGCAATTTGATTTTGTCGCGACGAAAGTCGTTTTCGCACGATGCTATTTTTGCTGCGACAGGGTGCTACTTTAGACACAACGTTCTTTCTATACTGGGGGAATTAACAGTTCGAAAACCTCAAAAAAAAAGCCCAAAATCGAGGTCCCTTCGTTTGAAATTCAAAAAAACAGGTCGATTAATCGATATGGGCATAAAAATCAAACCACTAGGACAGAAAAACACGGAGAATTTTGCAGTAGTAAAATTCTTTGGCTGCACCTAACCATTTTCGCGTCAGGACCCATGAAAAAAAATTTCCATTTTTTTGGGACACTCTGTATCTTCGACGGACTGAAAACACAGACTTAGCTTGCTTTCCATATCTCATCATTCCGAAAGTATTTACAACACCAAGTAATATAAAAAATTTTACTTCAGTTCACCACAGAAACCCGGATCAAATATTGATTACAAGAATTATGCAAACATCTCCTCCTCGTCGCCCGCAGAACCCGTTGTATGTGTGTTGTGTTGTCGGCTATTGCCCGTCAGCGTGCTGATGCTGCCGACCGGCGGCGAGGAGCGACAGAATATCCCCAACACAATTTGCCGATAGCTTGGGACCAACAACAGCACGGAGAGCGAGTTGAAAACAGGAGTTGTGTGCATTATTGCGATGATTTCTCCGGTCCATTCGTAGTTGATTTTCATCAGCGCGAAGACGGGCAAGATAGTGCCCGGAATGAAGAGAACAATAATCGGGAACAGGGCCTGAAAGATAAGGTTTCTGTCGGGAAAATAATGGGCACAATGTAGGAAAAGCAATATTATTTTGCTCCGATACAATTCATTATCTTTGATGCGATAGTGCACTCATTATTTTCCCGACAGACTGGTGCACAGCAGGGACGTATTTTCTTCAGGATCTACTTCTTCATACCTGAATAAAGATGACTCTTTCCATTTGTTTCTGCGTCTTCTTCGTGTTGGCCGACATTTTGGACTCCATCCTCGCGAACATCACTTTCGTTTTCCGATAAATCACGACAATGAAGACGTAGCTGAGGGCGGTCATCACAATACAATTAGCCATGTGCAACTTCATCAACGTCGAAGCGCCGGTGCAATCCCCCACCATGTACGGAGGGAGTCGCGGGAGGTCGCGCACAGCGGGATCGAGCCTATAAACCGCGTCGAAGTGCTCGTTCGGCGGGTTGAAGGTGAAGAAGCACAGGACCCCGTGCATGAACGGGTAGACGTTGGCAAGGAGGAAAACCTTGGCCAGTTGCGTGCTGTTGAAGGGCTTCTGGCTGATCACACTGTAGCGATACAAGAATTGCATCGGGATCAGAACCACGGAGACGTAGATCAAGAAGCCCTGGCAAGAGGTGACGATATAAGCGGACGATTGGAAATTCTGCAGCAAAGGATTCGCGGCGGCAAGAATGAAGTAGCTATCCCATATGAAAAACATCTGAAAAGCGGAGTGTTAGCAACTCAAAACTACCGTTACAGTGCTAAAGTCTTCAATTTAATACCTACCGGCATGGCGACCAAGTTGCACATGCTATACATAATATCGACCGTCGCATTCATAATCAACATGTGCGCATAGACTTTGACCGTCTTGTTCCGCGTCCGAAATATGGCCAGATAGATGATAAAACAGCTGCAGATCAGCGCAATCATCGAGAAGAACACCTCACAAAACAAATGGATCATGTGAAAATCCGCCATGATTTTGCTGACAGTTCGAAGTGTGTGCTGAAAACTGTTTTGCTTGTTTATATTCTTTCCAGTGGCACGCAAACTAAAAATTGGTACACTGCAACAAGAATCACGGTGTGAAACTGGCGGGGATTGAGTTCGAAGTTCTAAGTCCGGGATTTTACACTATTACTGCGTTTTTCTAAAAGTGCATGTACTATTTGCGGGAGCACGTCGTTGGTATTTGCTACAGAACTATCAAAAATTACTGGAGGAATATTTCCCTTACTCTCGGCACGAAAACAATCCTTCTCTGGCCGTAATAACAAAGAAACTTGGACTTTGATATATCAAGGGTACGGCAGAGAAAGCAACATTTTTTCGTAGCTCCAGACGCGAAATGCTTGCGTGCAGCCAAATGATTTCTTTACTATGAAAGTCTCCGTGTTTCATATGCAGTTTAGAGCTCGATAAAAAGTGCTCCTGTTGACAACCATTTCCCACCTTGAAACCGGAAAATATTACCCTTGGAACTTTGACTATTGTTCCATGCTGGTTTTGATCCCAAAAAATCTCCCGGTAATGCAAATTTAGAGTGTAGACTTATATTAAAGTTGGTATATTTTGAGACCGAAGCCACCTGAGAGGATTCCTCTTGTCTCAGGACACTATCGGGCTCAGAATTAAGACTTAATTTTTATGAACCCTTCGGTACCTGCAGCCCAGCATAGAACAATAAACAGCTTTAGTGGAGATATGACTAACCCAGAACCTGCAAAACTCTGTAAAAGACACTCTGGTCTTCTTTCCGCACCGTATAAATACCCAAAACGGGAATGACCATAAAGTGTATACCATTTATTGCAAATAAAGACCACTCTGTCGGCGTATTTGGTTTACCTTTCATTAGGCTAATGCCACCTAGCTACCTACTACAGTGCACCAAATGCTACTACTATTCATCCCACACACACCCCATAACCTTTTAGTGACCAGCTACCTTTCGACATTTCAGTGCAAACGACAGTTGGCGGTGCCTTTAAAGGTTCTCTTGTACCGTAGTTTCCGGGGACTTTCCTCAAAGCCTAGACTCATTTGAGAAGTCGGTGTCAATCCGGTAATTGCGTTTGCGTCAGCGTCTTTACTTTTGGAGATAAAGGTAATTGCGGTCCGCCGTCTTGAAGACTCTATATGACTGCTTTTTTGAGGGGTTCGGATAATACATGTGTATATCGGAAGTATCTTCGCGACAATACGAAGATAAAAACAGTGTTTTAACAACGCCATTTATTTTCCAAAAAAATTTATACTGGACAAGTAAAAGTGTAGCCTTGAATGTGAGCCTGACATTACCTTGATGCACTAAGTGTGCACTCAGGTCTCTTCAGTAGCTAACCGCCAATGCTGAGCGTCAATTTTAATACCTCTGAACTTCAGGTGCACTGTACCATGGGGTTTTTTTATAATTTTTGGGCGACTTTATGGACTCTTACAATAAGTCTTCTTTAAAAAAATCTCAGAAAATGTGTTCAGCAACGTAACATTGTCTCATGACAAATAGTACCAAACGGTCCTATTTTGACATAAAAATTCTGCATCTTGAAGCCGGTTTTATGTTACTAATGGCCTAAAAAACTTGGATCATTATTGTAAACTGTGCCCAGGACGGTTTACTGCTACCTTGACTATGTTCTTTGACCGTTTCCGTCCTAATGACGATCTCTTAAAAGGTCAGTTAAGTCGATTTCAAACTTTGGTTTTAATTGATGCCCAAAGATTTCTAAAAAAGTCATTACACAGTGAATTTAAAGTACACAAGTATTAAAATCTGTACTCTGCGTGGTCCTTAGGTACCGAAGCGAGCTCCGTGAACACCTCGAGCCAGGGCAATCTCGTACTCAGAATCGAGGTTTCCCTTTTAATTGTCGGGCAGTATAATTATACAACACTCCATCACCATGTTTTTTGTGTAAAAAAACTCAAAACTGAATTTAAAAAACAACATCAGAGTCAGTGTTGGTATGTGTGTTCTTGTTGTTGCTGGAGCCAGGATTAACGAACTTTGGCCGGCAGAAAATGCTCAGGAACGTGCGGCGATAAGTGGGGACGCACAGCACAACCGAGAATGAGTTGAAAACCGGAGTTGTGTGCATTATGGCAACAAATTCTCCCATCATTGTTACGTTGATCTTCAGCAAAGATGCGATTGGTAGAACAGTGCCGGGGATGAAAAGCACCACGATCGGGAAAACAGCCTGAAAAATTATTCAAAATTTATAAAGGCTGGCAAAAGTACGGAAATATCAGTCCGTCGGAAAATAGTGAGCATAATGCCATTGCGAGCGCGGGAATCACTTTTTTATGATTTTTCATAACAACTTTTTTGTGATTTTTTACAATGGTCGTCTTACCTGAATAAAAATAACCCTCTCCATTTGTTTCTGCACCTTCTTTGTCTGCTCCGTCATTTGCGGCTCCATGCGAATGAAGGCCTCTCTTGTCCTCTGGTAGACGATCATGATCACAATATAGCTGGCCACCGTCATCACCATGCAATTGCTCATGTGCACGGCCATTAACTTCGAGTTGGCGCAGTCGCCAACCCGATACGGTGGGATATATCCCAACGAGCCAATAACGGGATCCCCAATAAAAATCTTATCGAACTCGGGCGAAGGCTCTTTGAAGGTGTAGAAGCAGAGAATACCATGGAAAAGTGGGTACGTAATGCCGATCATGAAGATGCGAATGAGCTGCGGGCTGGTGTAGGGTTTGTTCGTGATGACACTGTAGCGGTACATGAACTGAATGGGAATGATCACGACGGACACGTAGATCAGAAAGCCTTGAAAACTCGTGACGATGTTGGCTGACCAGGGCAAGTCCTTGAGCAGAGGGTTTCCGGCGGACAGAAAGAAAAGCCCATCGTAAATGTAGAAGATCTAAATACCGCGTGTACAACAATCCACAAGGTTTGGTTTACCGGCAATCCAATCAGATTACAAAGACTATAACCCAAGTCTACGCACGCGTTCATCACCAACATTTGCGAATACACTTTCACCGCCTTATTCTTTGTGCGATACATTGCCAGGAAGATGATGTAAAGACTGCAAGAAATCGCCAGAATAGAAAAGGTGGCCTCGGCAGCAAGATGGAATGCATGGTAATCAACCATCTTCTGAAGTGCTCTAGAGACTTGTCTACCAGAAGAACATAAATTTTCGAAGGCTTTGGTCCACGAGAAGTATTAATATTTTCTCAGAAATAAGCCGTACGGCAAGTTAGGGCAATTGGACTTTGTAACAGAGGATGAAATTGGGATCCATAGTATAAATCCCGTAATTGGATCTCCTACTGGAGACGAAGTAACAGACGAGAACGTACATCTACGGTAAAAGGCGAAGACGTTCATTGGCATTCATGCATGCCGTTGCTGACTTGTAGAATTTTTCATTTCACATACTACCACTATATTTTTTGGCTTTATTTTACTCATAAAACGATGCTTATGCGGAGACAAAACACATATATATTCGAATATTATTAAGCGAGGGGGTTGCGGCATAAATTCTCCCATTATCACAGTTAGATGCTCTCCAGTAGACGACGAATGAAGCCCTTGTGTTCGTGCGGCGCGTTCTTCGACCGAGTATGGTACTCAAAAACCCCAATCTCTGCGCGACCCTTACTGCCGGCCTCGCACAGCTCCCCGAACCACTTGAACATTGCATTCTTGTAGGTTTCGGCTTCGTCGGGGTTGGAGAAGTCGCTGATTCCATGGCACAGGTCGCCGTGGCATTCGCTGACATCCGAGCTTCCAGCCTGCGCAAGTTGTGTGTTCGCCGCCGGCATTGAAATCATAAAGTCGTCTGCGAAAATTGTTGCGGCGCACGATTGAACACCATGGTTGATAATTTTCTTTGGAAGGTCTGAAAAGTGAACGGTAAGCTTGTCTTCAGTATAACTATTATAGGCCATCTTTTAGGCTCTGTTTTCTTACCCGGCTCAGCTGCAGCAGGTCTGGCCAGCCCAATTCCGTCGGTTTCGTTGTTTCGAATTGCTGCCACCATTGCTGGAGCGGTCCGGAAACCACCGGTCAGGTAGATCGCGGCGTTCTGAATGTTAGGCTTAATGGCACCGGCGAATTCGATAAAGTAAGCTTCACGCTTCTTTGTCGATTCTTTTACGTGGCCCATTCGGGCGGCTTCCAAGTTTCCGCCGGTGAGTTCGATGAAGTCAAAGCCGAGCTCCTGCAAAGTTAATGTTATAACGATATGTATAAGATGAGTTATCAGTCTGTCGGGAAAATAATGAGCGCCCTGACGCATTAAAAATTGCTTCGCCTCCGAGAAAATGAATTGAGTCGTTGCAAAATGAAATTTCTTTTCACTTTAGCGACTCGATTGGCATAGCGACAAAATGCGCATTATTTTCCCGACAAGCTGATAACAACGGTAAAATGTGCCCTTAATTGTGGACTTACATCAAAGTGCTTGGCCATGTTGATGACGTCATTTTGGTCCAGCCCACCTTCCTGGAATTCAGCCGAGTTGATTTTGATGCTCAACACGAATCCCGAGCCCGCAGGAATTTGGGACCTGTAAAAATACACGTAAATATGAATATGTCATTGGGATTAAAACTCCTCAGAATCCAGAAAAATGTTCTTCTCGTTTCTAATGGGGTTTTATTCGCGGTGGATTTTATTGCTCGGTTATGATGAAGACGGTCATAAAAATGCAAACAAGAAGAAATAATATCTTCCAGCGCGCCGAGTGATTCACATTTTCCAGGAGAGGGGATGGGGATTTTGTCATGAACTGAGGGTCGTCCTGTCGTCATGCTTTTCGATTAAATTCGCGATTTGATTAGACAGCATGAAGCGAGCCACACCCGTACCGCTGCAGCGGGCCTACTCTAGTATTGACTTGAATGCGGATGAATTGCCTTCTCGTCCCATTACTACGACGGCCGCTACGCAGACCCCCTATTATTATGACAGTAGCTCGCCGAGGTATTTGGATACGTCGGTGAATAGTGGGCAGACTAACAGCGCGGTGTATTACATTAATCAAACGCCGTCTTTGTACAGCTACACCACCGATCCGCCACCGATTGTTAGTGAGGTAAGCCAGACGCAAATATGATGGATATATATCCTATATTTCACTGTCAAAATTGCTATGTACCTATTACAGTCGACAGAAGTTTCTGTGACCGGCGAAAGCGTTCAAAAGCTACTTCTCCGACTGTTTCATATATTCAGCTACATTCTTCGATGGCTAGTCGTGATTTTTCAGTAAGTTGGGAAGTTTCCCAACACATTTTTTAGAATTGTATTTATAGTAATTCTATTCTCAAATGGCTGGGGATGGTATAATCTCTTCAACGTCGCCAGTCTCGCCGCTTTTCTTTTTGCTCATATGGGAGTATTCAATCGAACTGCCTCATGGTTATACGCATTTTTTATTCTGGATGTGAGTCTTATCCGCTGGCGATAGACTTCAACTACGTAACTTATAATCAATCGTCCCAATTTTCAGTTCATTGTCATCATATTCTACGTTGTTTTCGCCATTTTGCTGCTTGCCGACGCCAACTACTATAACTATTTCCAATACCCGACGTATTTGTATCGGATGACAGTGGTGGATCAAGAGGTGATTGGGTTCTGTCTGCTGCTTAGCTCAACCTTTATGATCCTGTTTATAGTGGTTATTGGAAGAGTTTGGTGGGGACGACCCTTTTGCTATCCGCAGAAAAAGGGGCAATTCCTCGAGGATGATTATACTGGAAGGATCTGCTTTGGGCAGGTTTTTGGGTGCTTTCGAAACGAATAAAAATGAATATAAAGAAGCTTAAACGAGGCATTGTCTTATGGCTGTCATAGAGCAAAGATACCAGTCTGTCGGGAAAATAATGAGCACTCTGTCGCATTGAAAATCGCATCGTCAAGTGAACTGTGCCGCAGTAAAATCAAATTGCTTTTCACTTCAGATGGGGGCATCGACAAAGTGCTCATTATTTTCCCGAAAGGCTGTTATATAATACTAAACTTCTGCCACAAAAAACAACCGTCATTAAGAACTGAAACTACAGTGATATCCCACCTTATTCCATGGTAGATCTCATCGATAACTCGGACTCTGTTCCTCCAAGATCCGCCATACTCATCGTTCCTAAGGTTGGTTGTTGGAGACAGAAATTGGGACAGCAGATAGCCAAATGCCGCGTTGATTTGGACACCGTTGAAGCCTAAAAATTTTTTGGAAATTTTTCAAGTGCAGGTTTTTTAAAAAGGGTAGCAAAAAAACCGCAAAAAATGTTTTTGTCGGAGAAGAAATGGGGAATTTTTGAGGCGAGAGAGTACGTTTTTGCGTGTCTTCTCTCTGTCTTCTCTGTGCAATCAAGACAAAGTGTAAAAAACCGATAGCTAAGGGTCTATTCCGGTCACAGGACACCTCAGCTTGACATACCGGTCTCATAAGCAAAGAGTGCCGCGTAGACGAAACGATCAACAGCTTCGGTCTTGACTTGCTCAATGGTCAATGGAATTGGCTTTCCATACTTCGAGCCTTTCATTTCAATTCCCAGCTGGACGTCGGATGCGGAATACGGAGTTGGATTGATAATGCCGAGTGTTTGACGGCCATTCTGCAAATTTTTAGCTTAAAAATTTGACGATTTTTTGGGCAAACGGATTGAAAATGATTAAAAGTATATGAAAATCAATTAAAAAATAAATAAATATACGCACATGATTCAACTGCGCGAGTATCAAGCTCTTATGAGCCTTTGCGTTGTCCGTAAGTCGTTTGAATTGAGCCCGACGGGCGTTGGACTCGCATTCCTTGCTGATAATCATAGCTCCGGGCCCTTCGTAGTGCTTGTGGTCGACGCTGATACTGCCGGTGACCACAACTCCCCATCCACCGGCCCCAAACTTCTCATACAGGTTAATTAGACGTTGTGTTGGGACTCCGTGGAATTCGAGGCGACGTGGATCAACCGTTGCAATGTTTTCGCTCATAGCTGACTAAATGTTGATTTTAGAAAATGAATAACAAGATTTTATATAAATTTTCTGTTGGTTTACCTTTAAAAATCGATTTTTGGCTTTCGCCAGGGCAGTTTTGAATTTCAACGGGTGCTCCAAGGTCTCGGGATCCACCGCAAGCTCAACTGGCCATCTAGCATGAACCATGATGACAAATTATGTAGTAAATTAAGTGAAGTAGCTAAAATTAGCAAGATTTGAATAGGTTCCCTCAAAATTCACATGTTATCTTTACCCGTTGAAAATTCAAGGTCACAATTTACAAGTTTACAAGCAGAAAGAACGCCAATTTTCCCGTTGCTCAAAAACAACGAAACTCAAAAAAACTCCGAAATCGAATTAACTGTGTTGGAGCAAATCCGTTTTTCAAATCATCCTTCATAACCGATCAATCCCCGGCTCACAACGGGAGATATTGCAACTTGCGGAGCGAGGTATTGCAAAGGTAATCTGAAGCCCACCTCCGACCTTTGCCATTGCAAATACTCCATGGTCCCCAAAAGTTCAGAGCCCGTCCCGATCAGCTGTCAACGTCGAGACGACCCCGTATTTATCCGAGGTCATGAAATAAAAGTTCGATCCAAGAGGTTTGAAAACTGCAAAAAAAGTGTTCAGGGCCAAGTGGGCAGACGGGGAAGTTTGTGGAGGCTTCTCGATGCATTAGGGATGTCATATTGTGACATGATGGGTGGAAAAGGACATATGGGTGGTCTATATAAATTGTCGCTGGAATTTAATGAGCCTGACTATTATAGAGACAAATGTGATTTAAAAGTCAAAATGGAGTGCCTCAGAGTAGACAGGGCTCTGGGGCCGGCACCATAGCCACACAAAGGGCTCGGCAGAGCCACGCGAGTTTTAACGGGGCCGGGCCGGACTCTTGGGGCCGTGATTTCGGCCAAGCCCGGCCTCAGAGACATATCTACTTCAGAGTAGCAGGTCAAGATTACAGACCAAATCTAGTTCAGTTTTACATGAGACGGTATCAAATCCCCATCAAAAATTGCCCAAATTCTTTCGAAGATCACCAATCTTTCTGTTTTTTAAATAGCTTTCAAGCCAGACAATGACAATCCATTGTCTATCTCCTGTTTTCAAAAATAACTTGCTAAAAGAACAATATTTTCAGAGCCAACTAAACCTCCAAATCCCCGCATTCATCCCTAATGCCTGTGCTACCCCAATCTTGTTGCTCAACAATCAGATCACTCGCCTTTATAAGGCCGTTTGCGCGTTGTATTTTGGGAGCCCCGCTCCAAAATAGACTCCAAAAAAGGAGTAATGGGAAGACGCAAGTTCTTGCGGAGAGAGAAAAAGATAAACGAACACCGTTCAATTGACTTGTTAGTGTTCTTTTTTTACAAAGTTAAACTTTTTTCCGCGATTTTTCTGCTTTGTGTTGTATTTAGAGCCGAGTGCCTTCTAGTTTTGGAAAATAGCGATATTTAATGGTAAGGTCAGGTTCGTACTCTGAATTGTTGTTGCGGAGAAATTATTTCGGTTTCAGAGAAACAGCGGTGTTTTTGCAAGTCGCACATAACAACATGCCATGCATTTATGAAGCCTTTTTTCAGATGTGCAATGAGTAAAATGTAGCGGTCGTATCCTTGTTAAATTTTACGCACAGAAGAGTCAAACCACACAGTAGTTCCTGAAAATTCATGCTCTTCGTGTAGCCGGCATATTCAAACCTTTTGTTGCAAGTGCGCCATGCGAAAAGCGGCAAAAAAATCTCTATGGCCTTATCTATAATACGTTAAAAATTGGTTATTTGAAGCAATTGTGCCCTCCCCAAACTATCAGCAAAGTGCTTGAAGAACAATTCTCATATCTTCATATATAAAACTTCTCTTTCTGGCTCGCGCTTGTCAGGAATCACCGAGATTTTTCAAGTTGAAAGTTGGTAAAAATGCTCCCTTTTTTGGCAAATCTCGGCGTGACAAGTTTCTTTATTATTTCTGCCATAAAGTAAATAATATAACGTCTCCATAAGAAACCAATTTTTTACCCACAAAACTGACAGATATTTTACCAAAAAATGTTTCTCTATCTTCCTGACTGCACTCCGTGTTTTGCATATTCTCTCTACCACAAAGATAGTTGAATGCTGTGTACATACAGTAAATAAAAAATGACTTTTTGGGCTTCCTAAACGCAAATTTTGTTTTATTAAAACCAAAGTTTCGCTCTGCACGCCGTTATGATTCAACTGTTTACCCCGTCTTTCAACCCACAAGTCAAACAAAACTCGGGTCGTTGTTGCAGTTGGGAGCACTAAACCATATTTTTGACTCGCAAGATCAAGGAATTTAATAGAAATTGCAAATATTTGACAATGACGGCGAGATGTTTTACAATTCAAATACTACTCTTTTGAGGGATATATAAAGGAAATGTTACCGAAGTTCACTTTTTTAAGACTTGTCGGGCTTTTACAGTAATGAAATTCCTTGTGATTGCCCCCTTGCTTTTTGCTTTTGTCGCAAAATCTAACTGTCAAAAACAATGCATTGATACGGCGGTGAATTGTGCGACAACCCGAAATTTGTGCGACAATCCGTCGTATCGTCAGTTAATGAAGACTTATTGTCCGCTGACTTGCAACTACTGTAGGCGCGGGCAGCCTTACTACGACCCGATTGATGGGAATTCAATTTTTACCACGACAACTCCACTTCCACCTCTTCCTGGGCCAACTGTCTGTGTTGACGCTTACACCAGGTAAAATCGAAAGTCAAAAAGCCGGCTTCAAACATTAATCACGCTCAAAAGTTTGGAGATTTTTCATGACTACATTTTTTGCCGTTATAAATTTGGAGTGAAGGAAGAGAGGCAAAATTGCGGAATTTCCGGAGTTTTACATTAGTATCATAAGGCTGTCGGGAAAATAATGAGCACTCTGTCGCATAGAAAGTCGCATCGCCGTTGAGAAAACGAGTTGTGCCGCGGTATCAGATGGTTTTTCTGCGACGCAATCGGTGCAGCGACATTGTAGTTACTATTTTCCCGCAACAAATTGGTAGTACCAAAAAATTTAATTGTCGTAGGAGTTCGTCGTTGTACGGAGGTCAATTCCGGCCAAAAATTGACTCTTGGAAGCTCTGTAATTGTCGGGTACGGACCGGGTTTGTTGTACAAATGTTCTGGATGCTTTGAATAATCGTAAATAATGTTTCAGCTGCCTGCAATGGGCCCGCAATGGCTTCTGCACAAATGGATTTTATACAATCGAACAGCGAAGAAATTACTGCGGAAGAACCTGCTCCTTGTGCACATAAACTCCTTAGTTCTAGTACCTCATATACCGTTAAAAACATTGAAAAACATGTGATGCATAACAAAACTATGACAACCTGACTAAAGCTACACATACATGTCCAATAATCCTAAGATGTTTTCAAGTTGTACTGTATTATTCCTAACCCCCCTCCTCTCAAGTAAATCGAACCACCACCGGTGACCTTGAGATTGCATAACCGCATGTTCACCACAAGTCTCGGTCTTGGATTTCCACTCGTTTTAATCTCGACAATATTTATCGCAGCATGTAATCTCATGTTCGTTGGGGTCAATAAAACAATGCGCGCTTAATCGCTGGGTTTTTAATTTCATCGAGAATCGGCAATTCAAGAATGATTGAGTGTTGCGCAATCGGCAGTGGTAACGTTTTTTGTTCTGGCTTCTCAGGAAGCCCTTTGAGAAAGAGGCAGTGGGCAGGACTGGACTAGAACCAAAAAACTGTATAGATGCTTTTCTAACGGTACTAGCTCGTTTGTAAAGTCGCTATAGCCTCATATTTCCTCTTTTTCCAACACCAACGAGCCTAAGGCCAGAGATTGCCACGGCTCCGGAGCCGGCTCTTGGCTCCGGCTCTGAGCGGCTTCGGCTCCGAGCCGGGTGCCAGAGCCGGAGCCGGAATTTTGGGGTCGGCTCCGGCTCCCGAGCCCAAAATCAGAGCCAGGCTTCCCAGGGTCAGAAAAGTAAAAATTTCGTGATCTTGTTAAACCAAATTACTTGAAAAAACACTGCGGAGGATGTGACTTGATTGCAAAAAAGTTGGCAGTATGATCTATGGCACTAATAACTTTTATTTTTGGAAAAATATTTTTAAAAAACATTTCGCATAGGAGCCGGGATTCGGAGCCGGAGGCCTTTTTAAATTTTGCACGGAGCCAAGAGCCGGAGCCGAAATTTTGACCGTGGCTCTGCCTAAGGCTTTAAAAAATTTTTCATAGCGAACAGATGTTATTTTGGATGGATTGAAATGCAGTTTGCGGTTATTTGATTGCGCACTTATATAGCGCAACTGATCTGCTCTAGCTAGCATCTTCTGAAGATTCCTCATAATATTGCGTTAAATTTGGGTTAAATGGATTATCTTGTCAAGTCAAGCCAGCTCAAGTGCAACCACTCAAGGCGATGATGAGAAGACCGGCCAGATTCTATCTCAAAAGGTAAACGAAATATCGGTCTGTCGGGAAAATAATGTGCACAATTTGGGTGCGCCGATCGTGACGCTGCAGCGAAAAGCAACTTTATTTTTCATGCGACAGAGTGATCATTATTTTCACGACAGACTGATATTTGTTTAGAGGAGACCATAGCTCCATTTCGAAATATTTCACAGCATATTTTTCTTTTATTAAATGAATTTTTTCCATGAAATTTCCGCGGAAATTCAAATTTTTTGTGCACTCCTCTTATTACTCTTTCCCAGTTATTTTTTCTGCCGCGCGCATTTCGAAAAAAGGGTGGTCGAAAAAAGGCATAATTAATAAGAAGGGACCTGACTTCGCTGCACTTTTTGACGATTTTATGGCCCAATAAATCGCATTTTTTGTGAAATTTTTGAAAAGTATTTGAAATATTAGCCAATCAGACAAGGGTGGATGTGAAAGGTGGCAGAATTTTTCTTTTTTTTATGGATTGCGTATGTTTTTTGGATCTTTAATATACATATGTATATATTTGTCCAATATTTCTGTGAGATTGCAATCTATCTAAACAATCTGTCCATTGCGTGTAATAATGGGAAAAGAAGTTATAATTACGAGCCATCTAGATGTCGTCCGTTTACCGGCTAATGAGAAAACAGTGGTTTTCGGGCGAGATAATGATCAGAGTTGGGCGAAGTTTATTTATTGCAG